CTCACTTACTCTCACTCACTCACTCTCACTTACTCTCACTCACTCACTCTCACTTACTCACTCTCACTTACTCACTTACTCTCTCTCACTCTCACTCTTTCACTCACTCTCTCTCACTCTCTCACTCACTTACTCTCACTTACTCACTCTCACTCACTCACTCTCACCCACTTGCTCTCACTCACCCCCAACACTGTCATCAGAGTGCGGGAGGGGCAGCATCCTGCTGTGGACAGAGACAATGCCCTGTGTTTGCATGTTCTCCCTGTGTCTGTGTTTGCATATTTTCCTGTGTCTGTGTTTGCATGTTCTCCCTGTGTCTGTGTTTGCATGTTCTCCCTGTGCCTGTGTTTGCATATTTTCCTGTGTCTGTGTTTGCATGTTCTCCCTGTGTCTGTGTTTGCATGTTCTCCCTGTGTCTGTGTTTGCATGATCTCCCTGTGTCTGTGTCTGCATGTTCTCCCTGTGTCTGTGTTTGCATGTTCTCCCTGTGTCTGTGTTTGCATGTTCTCCCTGTGTTTGCATGTTCTCCCTGTGTCTGTGTTTGCATGTTCTCCCTCCGTTTGCATGTTCTACCTGTGTATGCATGTTCTATCTGTGTTTGCATGTTCTCCCTGTGTCTATGTTTGCTTGTTCTCCCTGTGTCTGTGTTTGCATGTTCTCCCTGTGTGTTTGCATGTTCTCTCTGTGTCTGTGTTTGCATGTTCTCCCTGTGTCTGTGTTTGCATGTTCTCCTTGTGTTTGCATGTTCTCCCTGTGTCTGTGTTTGCATGTTCTCCCTGTGTCTGTGTTTGCATATTTTCCTGTGTCTGTGTTTGCATGTTCTCCCTGTGTCTGTGTTTGCATGTTCTCCCTGTGTCTGTGTTTGCATGATCTCCCTGTGTCTGTGTCTGCATGTTCTCCCTGTGTCTGTGTTTGCATGTTCTCCCTGTGTCTGTGTTTACATGTTCTCCCTGTGTCTATGTTTGCATGTTCTCCCTGTGTCTGTGTTTGCATGTTCTCTCTGTGTCTGTGTTTGCATGTTCTCCCTGTGTTTGCATGTTCTCCCTGTGTCTGTGTTTGCATGTTCTCCCTCCGTTTGCATGTTCTACCTGTGTATGCATGTTCTATCTGTGTTTGCATGTTCTCCCTGTGTCTATGTTTGCTTGTTCTCCCTGTGTCTGTGTTTGCATGTTCTCCCTGTGTCTGTGTTTGCATGTTCTCTCTGTGTCTGTGTTTGCATGTTCTCCCTGTGTCTGTGTTTGCATGTTCTCCCTGTGTCTGTGTTTGCATGTTCTCCCTGTGTCTGTGTTTGCATGTTCTCCCTGTGTCTGTGTTTGCATGTTCTCTCTGTGTCTGTGTTTGCATGTTCTCCCTGTGTCTGTGTTTGCATGTTCTCCCTGTGTCTGTGTTTGCATGTTCTCCCTGTGTTTGCATGTTCTCCCTGTGCCTGTGTTTGCATGTTCTCTCTGTGTCTGTGTTTGCATGTTCTCCCTGTGTTTGCATGTTCTCCCTGTGTCTGTGTTTGCATGTTCTCCCTGTGTCTGTGTTTGCATGTTCTCCCTGTGCCTGTGTTTGCATGTTCTCCCTGTATCTATGTTTGCATGTTCTCCCTGTGTTTGCATGTTCTCCCTGTGTCTGTGTTTGCATGTTCTCCCTGTGTCTGTGTTTGCAGGTTCTCCCTGTGTCTGTGTTTGCATGTTCTCTCTCTGTTTGCATGTTCTACCTGTGTATGCATGTTCTATCTGTATTTGCATGTTCTCCCTGTGTCTATGTTTGCTTGTTCTCCCTGTGCCTCCGTTTGCATGTTTTACCTGTGTTTGCATGTTCTCCCTGTGTCTGTGTTTGCATGTTCTCCCTGTGTCTGCTTTCTTATAAACAAAAACACATGCTGGACCTCTCTCTTCTGCGCATGTCTCCTCTGCAGTCTCACACCGCGCGGCAGACTCTCCTCTCTCACCGCGCACACGTAACGGTGCGTGAGGTGACGTGAGCCTGTGTGAGGCTGCGGAGGTGCGGCAGGAGAGCGGCAGAAGCGGTAGAGGAGCGGCAGGCGCGGCAAAGGAGCGACAAAGCGTCAGAAGCGGCAAAACCGGTAGAGGCAGCGCGCGTGCGGCGCATGGAGACGGGGCGGCACCGGGACCGGGACCATGTCGCGGGACGGAACCATCAGCACCTGCACGAGCGCATGCACACGGGAGCGCGCGCGACCGCTCACAATAACGGTCACGGCCGCGTGCCTGTGCCTGAGCGCGCTCTCGCTGTTCGTGCTCGTGCTCGCCATCAGCACGGACCACTGGCACGAGACGGACACGCGCGCGCACAAGCGCAACTGTGACCGCGCAGGCGCAGACTCCACGGACCAGAAGAACCGGGATGAGCCCATCTTCCACCTGCCGCTGGTGGACGGGGGCGCGCGCGGGAGCGTGCTCAGGCCCGTGCACGTGGGCAGCCGCGAGGACGAGCTCCTGGAGAACTGGCGCGCGATCCTCGGGATGGGAATACTCGAGACGGAATGCGGAAGACCGCTGTTCTCCACGCACGCGGGGCTGTGGCGGAAGTGTTACGTCATGGGCAAGGACCCGGATATAGATAAGCTCATCGTCAAAGGTGAGGCACGTGATCAGCATGACGTCATCAGGGCACAGACTCAGGTCAAAGGTTGTGACCTCCAGACAGGGGTTTGCATGTTCTCCCTGTATGCATAGGATTCCTCCAGGTGCACCGGTTTCCTCCTGTCCTGTAGCTGCTGCTGCCAGAGCACTGTTTTCACCTGGATCTAACTTTATCATAGAGGAGGCCTGTTTCACATTTTCAGGAAGACTGTTCCAGATTTTAGCATCAATCTGAAACGCTGTCTCCTTATGTTTAGTCCTGACTATGGGACCAGCAGGAGTCCAGTCCCTGTGCTCCTCAGAGTCCCAGCAGGAGGCCAGTCCCTGTGATCCTCAGAGTCCCAGCAGGAGGCCAGTCCCTGTGCTCCTCAGAGTCCCAGCAGGAGTCCAGTCCCTGTGCTCCTCAGAGTCCCAGCAGGAGGCCAGTCCCTGTGATCCTCAGAGTCCCAGCAGGAGGCCAGTCCCTGTGCTCCTCAGAGTCCCAGCAGGAGTCAGTCCCTGTGCTCCTCAGAGTCCCAGCAGGAGTCCAGTCCCTGTGCTCCTCTCAGTCCCAGCAGGAGGCCAGTCCCTGTGCTCCTCAGAGTCCCAGCAGGAGTCCAGTCCCTGTGCTCCTCAGAGTCCCAGCAGGAGGCCAGTCCCTGTGCTCCTCAGAGTCCCAGCAGGAGGCCAGTCCCTGTGCTCCTCAGAGTCCCAGCAGGAGGCCAGTCCCTGTGCTCCTCAGAGTCCCAGCAGGAGTCCAGTCCCTGTGCTCCTCAGAGTCCCAGCAGGAGTCCAGTCCCTGTGCTCCTCAGAGTCCCAGCAGGAGGCCAGTCCCTGTGCTCCTCAGAGTCCCAGCAGGAGTCCAGTCCCTGTGCTCCTCAGAGTCCCAGCAGGAGTCCAGTCCCTGTGCTCCTCAGAGTCCCAGCAGGAGTCCAGTCCCTGTGCTCCTCAGAGTCCCAGCAGGAGTCCAGTCCCTGTGCTCCTCAGAGTCCCAGCAGGAGGCCAGTCCCTGTGCTCCTCAGAGTCCCAGCAGGAGTCCAGTCCCTGTGCTCCTCAGAGTCCCAGCAGGAGTCCAGTCCCTGTGCTCCTCAGAGTCCCAGCAGGAGTCCAGTCCCTGTGCTCCTCAGAGTCCCAGCAGGAGGCCAGTCCCTGTGCTCCTCAGAGTCCCAGCAGGAGGCCAGTCCCTGTGCTCCTCAGAGTCCCAGCAGGAGGCCAGTCCCTGTGCTCCTCAGAGTCCCAGCAGGAGTCCAGTCCCTGTGCTCCTCAGAGTCCCAGCAGGAGTCCAGTCCCTGTGCTCCTCAGAACCTTTGTGCCCCCTTGAACCTTTCAACATTTCGCCACATTTCAGGCTTCAAACATAAAGATATAAAAATATTTTTTTGTCAAGAATCAACAACAAGTGGGACACAATCGTGAAGTGGAACTAAATTTATTGGATAATTTAAACTTTTTTAACAAATAAAAAACTGAAAAGTGGGGCGTGCAATATTATTCGGCCCCCTTGCGCTAATACTTTGTAGCGCCACCTTTTGCTGCAATTACAGCTGCAAGTCGCTTGGGGTATGTCTCTATCAGTTTTGCACATCGAGAGACTGGAATTCTTGCCCATTCTTCCTTGCAAAACAGCTGGAGCTCAGTGAGGTTGGATGGAGAGTGTTTGTGAACAGCAGTCTTCAGCTCTTTCCACAGATTCTCGATTGGATTCAGGTCTGGACTTTGACTTGGCCATTCTAACACCTGGATACGTCTATTTGTGAACCATTCCATTGTAGATTTGGCTTTATGTTTTGGATCATTGTCCTGTTGGAAGATAAATCTCCGTCCCAGTCTCAGGTCTTTTGCAGACTCCAAATGGTCCTGTATTTGGCTCCATCCATCTTCCCTGTCCCTGCTGAAGAAAAGCAGGCCCAAAGCATGATGCTGCCACCACCATGTTTGACAGTGGGGATGGTGTGTTCAGGGTGATGAGCTGTGTTGCTTTTACGCCAAACATATCGTTTTGCATTGTGGCCAAAAAGTTTGATTTTGGTTTCATCTGACCAGAGCACCTTCTTCCACATGTTTGGTGTGTCTCCCAGGTGGCTTGTGGCAAACTTTAAACAAGACTTTTTTATGGATATCTTTGAGAAATGGCTTTCTTCTTGCCACTCTTCCACAAAGGCCAGATTTGTGCAGTGCACGACTGATTGTTGTCCTATGGACAGACTCTCCCACCTCAGCTGTAGTTATCTGCAGTTCATCCAGAATGATCATGGGCCTCTTGGCTGCATCTCTGATCAGTCTTCTCCTTGTTTGAGATGAAAGTTTGGAGGGACGGCCGGGTCTTGGTAGATTTGCAGTGGTCTGATACTCCTTCCATTTCAATATAATTGCTTGCACAGTGCTCCTTGAGATGTTTAAAGCTTGGGAAATCTTTTTGTATCCAAATCCGGCTTTAAACTTCTCCACAACAGTATCTGGGACCTGCCTGGTGTGTTCCTTTGTCTTCATGGTTCTCTCTGTGCTTTAAACAGAACCCTGAGACTATCAAAGAGCAGGTGCATTTATACGGAGACTTGATTACACACAGGTGCATTCTATTTATCATCATCAGTCATTTAGGACAACATTGGATCATTCAAAGATCCTCACTGAACTTCTGGACTGAGTTTGCTGCACTGAAAGTAAAGGGGCCCAATAATATTGCACGCCCCACTTTTCAGTTTTTTATTTGTTCAAAAAGTTTAAATTATCCAATAAATTTCGTTCCACTTCACGATTGTGTCCCACTTGTTGTTGATTCATGACAAAAAATTAAAATGTTATATCTTTATGTTTGAAGCCTGAAATGTGACGAAATGTTGAAAGGTTCAAGGGGGCCGAATACTGTATATATAATCCAGCACCCTGAGACTGTACGTAAGCCGTAAAGAAGGAGGCCGAGGACTAGTGAGTGTGAGAGCCACTGTCCAGGACCAAACATCCAAACTCCATAACTACATCATGGAGAAGGCCAAAACGGATGACGTACTCAGTGAATGTCTCAGGCAGTGGCGAGATGAGGAGGTGCTGGAGGAGAGCCCATCATGGGAGAACAAGCCCCTACACGGCATGTACCACCGGAGCATAACAGAAGTGGCTGATCTCAAGAAGTCCTACCAATGGCTAGAAAGGGCTGGCCTACAGGACAGCACAGAGGCACTCATCATGGCTGCACAGGAACAGGCCCTGAGCACCAGAGAGGCCCAGATATACCACACCAGACAAGACCCAAGGTCTCGGTTGTGCAAAGAGGCACCTGAGACGATCCAACACATAACTGCAGGGTGCAAGATGCTGGCAGGGAAGGCCTACATGGAACGCCATAACCAAGTGGCTGCATAGTGTACAGTTCTTGTATAGACCAGTTTAACGAAAGGATTTTTGAGTTGTTTGAGCAAAAGGGCAACAAATTGACTTTGATTTGTTGTGACTTTAATATTGATTAAAATCTAATGGGCATACAAAAACTACTGAATTTATTAATACAATGTTTAGTTTGAGTTACTATCCACTAATAATAAAGCCAAGCAGGATAACAAAAGATAGTTGTACATTGATTGATAATATATTTGTAAATGAAATTGGTTTAAAGACAAAAAGTGGACTGATGTTAACAGATATTACTGATCACAGATATTACTGATCATAGATATTATTGATCACAGATATTATTGATCACAGATATTATTGATCACAGATATTATTGATCACAGATATTATTGATCACAGATATTATTGATCATAGATATTATTGATCACAGATATTATTGATCACAGATATTATTGATCATAGATATTATTGATCACAGATATTATTGATCACAGATATTATTGATCACAGATATTATTGATCACAGATATTATTGATCACAGATATTACTGATCACAGATATTACTGATCACAGATATTATTGATCATAGATATTATTGATCACAGATATTATTGATCACAGATATTATTGATCATAGATATTATTGATCACAGATATTATTGATCACAGATATTATTGATCATAGATATTATTGATCACAGATATTATTGATCACAGATATTATTGATCACAGATATTACTGATCACAGATATTATTGATCACAGATATTATTGATCACAGATATTATTGATCACAGATATTACTGATCACAGATATTATTGATCACAGATATTACTGATCACAGATATTACTGATCACAGATATTACTGATCACAGATATTACTGATCACAGATATTATTGATCACAGATATTACTGATCACAGATATTACTGATCACAGATATTACTGATCACAGATATTATTGATCACAGATATTACTGATCACAGATATTATTGATCACAGATATTATTGATCACAGATATTACTGATCACAGATATTACTGATCACAGATATTACTGATCACAGATATTATTGATCACAGATATTATTATTGATCACAGATATTATTGATCACAGATATTACTGATCACAGATATTATTGATCACAGATATTATGATCACAGATATTATTGATCACAGATATTACTGATCACAGATATTATGATCACAGATATTACTGATCACAGATATTATTGATCACAGATATTATTGATCACAGATATTACTGATCACAGATATTACTGATCACAGATATTACTGATCACAGATATTATTGATCACAGATATTATTGATCACAGATATTATTGATCACAGATATTACTGATCACAGATATTACTGATCACAGATATTATTGATCACAGATATTATTGATCACAGATATTACTGATCACAGATATTACTGATCACAGATATTACTGATCACAGATATTATTGATCACAGATATTATTGATCACAGATATTATTGATCACAGATATTACTGATCACAGATATTATTGATCACAGATATTACTGATCACAGATATTACTGATCACAGATATTACTGATCACAGATATTATTGATCACAGATATTATTGATCACAGATATTATTGATCACAGATATTACTGATCACAGATATTACTGATCACAGATATTACTGATCACAGATATTATTGATCACAGATATTACTGATCACAGATATTATTGATCACAGATATTATTGATCACAGATATTACTGATCACAGATATTATTGATCACAGATATTATTGATCACAGATATTACTGATCACAGATATTATTGATCACAGATATTACTGATCACAGATATTACTGATCACAGATATTATTGATCACAGATATTACTGATCACAGATATTACTGATCACAGATATTACTGATCACAGATATTATTGATCACAGATATTACTGATCACAGATATTACTGATCACAGATATTACTGATCACAGATATTATTGATCACAGATATTACTGATCACAGATATTATTGATCACAGATATTATTGATCACAGATATTATTGATCACAGATATTACTGATCACAGATATTACTGATCACAGATATTATTGATCACAGATATTACTGATCACAGATATTACTGATCACAGATATTATTGATCACAGATATTATTGATCACAGATATTACTGATCACAGATATTATTGATCACAGATATTACTGATCACAGATATTATTGATCACAGATATTACTGATCACAGATATTATTGATCACAGATATTACTGATCACAGATATTATTGATCACAGATATTATTGATCACAGATATTACTGATCACAGATATTACTGATCACAGATATTACTGATCACAGATATTACTGATCACAGATATTATTGATCACAGATATTACTGATCACAGATATTATTGATCACAGATATTACTGATCACAGATATTACTGATCACAGATATTACTGATCACAGATATTACTGATCACAGATATTATTGATCACAGATATTATTGATCACAGATATTACTGATCACAGATATTATTGATCACAGATATTACTGATCACAGATATTACTGATCACAGATATTATTGATCACAGATATTACTGATCACAGATATTATTGATCACAGATATTACTGATCACAGATATTATTGATCACAGATATTACTGATCACAGATATTACTGATCACAGATATTATTGATCACAGATATTATTGATCACAGATATTACTGATCACAGATATTATTGATCACAGATATTACTGATCACAGATATTACTGATCACAGATATTATTGATCACAGATATTACTGATCACAGATATTATTGATCACAGATATTACTGATCACAGATATTATTGATCACAGATATTACTGATCACAGATATTACTGATCACAGATATTATTGATCACAGATATTACTGATCACAGATATTACTGATCACAGATATTATTGATCACAGATATTACTGATCACAGATATTACTGATCACAGATATTACTGATCACAGATATTATTGATCACAGATATTATTGATCACAGATATTACTGATCACAGATATTACTGATCACAGATATTACTGATCACAGATATTACTGATCACAGATATTACTGATCACAGATATTACTGATCACAGATATTATTGATCACAGATATTACTGATCACAGATATTATTGATCACAGATATTACTGATCACAGATATTATTGATCACAGATATTACTGATCACAGATATTACTGATCATAGATATTACTGCGGTGGATATTTCACAAACTAAAACACCAAGGACAAAAGACCTGCCGCAATTCAAGCCTTGAAATGTGATCTCTTTCATTATGAAATCTATATTGGAAATATGAAAGACTCCTATAATAGATTTTTAAAATATTTCTTAATATTTATAATAAGCATTGCCAAAACAACTTAAGTAAAAAAGGATTTAAGCCATGGATGTCAAAAAGTTTGGAGAAGGCTTGTAAAAAGAAAACAAGTTATACATAGAGTTCATAAAGAATCCTCCAAAAGAAAAAGAGAAACTGTATAAAGAATATAAAAACATTTTGACAGCTGTAATAAGAAGAAGCAAAAAAGATTATTATGATTTATTGCAGAGATACAAAAATGATATAAATGCTGCATGGATCAAAGAGACGATTCCTCCTGTTAGCATTAAACAACAACAAAGAAATTACCAATGAACTCAACCATTTTTTTGTTGCTGTAGGTCCTAAATTAGCAAATCAACTGTTGGAGATAATGAGTTTCCTTCCTATAACGACACAATGTTTGTGAGTGGAGTATGTTCTAGAAGCAGTACATACTTTTAAAAGTCAGACGGTGTTGATCTGTCACTCATCAAACAGGTCAGCCACTGCAGCGCTGAACCTTTTATATTTGCAACAAGTCTTTTTCAACACGTATTGTTCCTGATCAAATGAAACCGGCCAAAGTGATTCCAATTTACAAACATGGAAATAGGCAACTTGTATCTAATTATAAACCAATCTCACTGTTGTTACAGTTTTCAACAACATCAGAGAAATGGTTTTAAATGAGACTTGATGCTTTTATTGGCTTTAGAAGCAGTCGTCCAACATGCCTCGCAGTGGTGGACTGTGTAGAGCATGCTGCGACTGTGTTGACCAAACGCTTTACGCAGTGGGTGTGTTTGTCGATCTGAGTAAAGCCTTTGATACGACTGCTCATGCACATTTGTTGAAAAAGTGTGAATATTATGGTCTTCGTGGTAAAACAAATCAATGGTTACAAAGCCACCTAAATAACAGACTTCAATACGTACAAATGGATAATGTGGCTTCACAGGTGTGTGTGGAGTACCCCAGGGCTCTGTCCTGGGACCAACAATATTTACACTATATGTAAATGATATGTTTACACTGTCTTCTATGTTCGCAGATTATACAAACTTTGTTTCTAGTGGTAAAAAACTGAATGAATTATTGCAAATAGTAGAAAATTGTTTTGATTATAACAAATGTAATTTCACACTATCAATGTTTTTGTTCCCTGCAAATATCATACATTTTGTTTTGTTTTATTTGCAATAATTCATTCATTCATCACATGACCACATGACCACATGATCACATGACCACATGATCACATGATCACATGATCACATAACCACATGATCACATGATCACATGACCACATGATCACATGATCACATGATCACATGATCACATAACCACATGATCACATAACCACATGATCACATGATCACATGATCACATGATCACATGATCACATAACCACATGATCATATTTACGGCCCTATGATCCTCTGAAGTGGAGGTGGAGGAACCTGAGACAGTCGTCCTCACTTATGGTATTTTTCTTTAGTGGGAGGGTAAACCGAAGCACCCGGAGGAAACCTATTCTCGTGCAGAACATACAAACTCTCCACAGGCGGTATCGAACCCAGCACCTTCTTCAAACGCAGCACGTCTAACCTTAGTCACTTTGGAGCGTAACCACGGAGACGGTTACCATTATTGTACCAGCGACATCACAGACGGATACCATTACTGTACCAGCGACATCACAGACGGATACCATTACTGTACCAGCGACATCACAGACGGATACCATTATTGTACCAGCGACATCACAGACGGATACCATTATTGTACCAGCGACATCACAGACGGATACCATTACTGTACCAGCGACATCACAGACGGATACCATTACTGTACCAGCGACATCACAGACGGATACCATTATTGTACCAGCGACATCACACAGACGGATACCATTACTGTACCAGCGACATCACAGACGGATACCATTACTGTACCAGCGACATCACAGACGGATACCATTATTGTACCAGCGACATCACAGACGGATACCATTATTGTACCAGCGACATCACAGACGGATACCATTATTGTACCAGCGACATCACAGACGGATACCATTATTGTACCAGCGACATCACAGACGGATACCATTATTGTACCAGCGACATCACAGACGGATACCATTACTGTACCAGCGACATCACAGACGGATACCATTATTGTACCAGCGACATCACAGACGGATACCATTATTGTACCAGCGACATCACAGACGGATACCATTATTGTACCAGCGACATCACAGACGGATACCATTATTGTACCAGCGACATCACAGACGGATACCATTTACTGTACCAGCGACATCACAGACGGATACCATTACTGTACCAGCGACATCACAGACGGATACCATTACTGTACCAGCGACATCACAGACGGATACCATTACTGTACCAGCGACATCACAGACGGATACCATTACTGTACCAGCGACATCACAGACGGATACCATTATTGTACCAGCGACATCACAGTTCATAAGTTTCAGAGGAGATGAAGTGAACCCATGGTCCAAGAACAGCACCAGGTCCATGCTCAGTCCCTTTGCCGGAGTAAAGACCTTTTTATTTTTCCTCTGCTTAAACCTCCGTGACCCCTCAGAGCAGTGTGTGATACTGGTACTGGTTAAACCATGTGGCATCCATTGGTATCTGTCCAGCCACACGTTGAAATGGAGCTGACCCTTGTACCAGTGTTATCTTTACTTTATACACTTTGACCATTGAACAATTCTTGTTCCGTGTAAGAATCAGCCGACCACAACCGCTGATACTGAAACTTTGAAACTTGCTATGCTAAATGTCAGATCTCTTTCTAACAAGTCTTTTTTAATCAATAATTTTATTTGTTCTTATAATCTTGATCTTATGTTCATGGCTGAAACATGGCTTGACCAAAATACAGAAAATGCAGTTTTAATAGAAGTATCACCACCAAATTTCAAGTTTGAATCTGAAATACGGGAAAACAAAAAAGGAGGAGGCTTAGCTGCCATTTTCAGAGACCACTTTGTCTCCCATAGAATGTCTCTTGGGAAGTTTCCGTCTTTTGAATATGTGTCTTTTAAAATACAACAAAAACAATCTCCTCCAATACTCTTCGTTGTCCTATACAAGCCACCGCAGTCATGTCACAGTTTTATTGATAATTTTACCGAGTTGCTTTCAGTTGTATGCACAGATTTTGATAGTTTAGTTATTACAGGTGATTTTAATATTCATGTGGATAATGTTGATGACAGAAATGCAAAAGAGCTGAGTTCTTTACTTGAATCCTTTGATCTCACTCAGCACGTAAGTGGCCCCACCCACAGCAGAGGGCACACTCTAGATCTGTTAGTTACAAAGGGGGTGAACATTTCTAATGTAAACGTGGTCGATGTTGCTCTTTCGGATCATTTCTGTGTTTTTTTTGACATGTGTTTCACTAACAAACCACCAGTGGACTCTGCAACTGTTCGAAGAAGACACATAAATGAAAATACGAGTGAACTATTTATGGGAATGATAAACTTTGAAAATGCATCGTATTCTACTGTAGATGAACTGTTTAACTCTGTCACCTCTAGTGTTTTGAATGTTCTGGATACCGTTGCCCCTGTGAAGGTTAAAATAGTGAAAAATAAGCAGAAGGCGCCGTGGGCTAAAGCAGACTCGGTCAGGGCACAAAAGAGAAAGTGCCGGAGGGCCGAGCGGAAGTGGCGCAAGTCCAACCTCCAGGTAGATTACGAGATCTTCAAAGATAAGTTGTGCGAGTTTAACCGGGTGCTACGTAGTACGAGAGAAAGGTATTTTTCTGAAATGATTGAAGGCTGCAGCAACAATCTGCGTGTTCTGTTTTCAACAGTTAATAGATTAACAAACCCCCCTGTTCAGATGCCATTAGAGCTAACTTCCAAACGTAAATGCAATGAGTTTGCACACTTTTTCAATGACAAGGTTCAAGGCATCAAAAGCGCCATTGTCTCCAATCCACAGATAACAATCCAACAGCCAGAAAGGCTCTCTGAGCTAACTCACTTTGCACCTGTAAATGATAAAACTGTCCAAGAGATAATCTCCAGTTTGAGCTCCTCCACATGTAGCCTGGATGTACTACCCACTAGATTTCTGAAGTCTGTTCTGAGCAGTCTGTTACCTTCACTCACACAGATAGTAAACATGTCCCTTCATTCTGGAATATTCCCAAAGGCCCTGAAAACTGCAGTCATCAGGCCCCTGCTAAAAAAGAGCAGTCTGGATGCTACGGTACTTAACAACTATCGTCCCATCTCAAATCTGCCATTTATGGGGAAAGTCCTTGAAAAAGTTGTCTACCTACAGCTTACTACATTTCTTATAATCAACAACTCATTTGATATGTTTCAGTCCGGCTTTAGACCCCACCACAGCACTGAGACTGCTCTCGTCAAGGTTACAAACGATATCCGGCTGAACACTGACGCAGGCAAAGTCTCAATCCTAATCCTGTTAGATCTAAGTGCTGCCTTTGACACTGTCGACCATGAGATCCTCTTACAGAGACTAGAGCAGTGTTTTTCAACCACTGTGCCGCGGCACACTAGTGTGCCGTATGATATTGTCTGGTGTGCCGTGAGAAATTCGTCTACTTTGTCTAAAAATAACTGCATTCGCTGTTGACGAGCGGTGACTTGTTTTGAACTGTGGAGTAACCATGTAATACTTTTTCAAATCAGTAGATGGCAGCAGATAGCTAAGTACTTTGAAACTGAAAAATTGGATGCGACCACTGGCTGTAACAGGTCAGCATTGTGGCGAGAAAGGTAAAATTGGATGCGACCAACAAATGTGGGAGGGAGCGAGACAAGAGCTTTGTGGCGAGTGAGAAGTGAAAGTGATAGAGACGTTTTTGAAAATGAATTATGCCGTTTCTGAACAGGTTTAACATCCTCCGCTCTGCCCCGGGGCAGCTGTGGCCGCGTTGTAGTGGTTTAACTATGAAATGTACAATTTTTGTACAACAGCTCTCGCGAACGCACTTCTGAACTGGGTACTGAGCGCAGACCATAGTCGAGTGGACAGAACCACAGACATGCGGACCGGACAGAACCATGGACTCGCGTTCAGGACCTCCCGTGTCCCTCATCCAAAACTCCTGAATTTAAAGCTCGGATACCTAAATTTTTCCCATGCACTAACAATGCATGTTCTTTGTGTGAGTTATTATTTGACTATTTGGGCAGAGAGTGGATTTTCTTAGTTTTTTTCCACACAGTTAGTGCCACTTTATTCCCAAACTCTTGTTAATTGTATCAAGAAATATTAAATAAAGCTTAATGTCAAGGCCTGGACTTAAGCATTTTGATGAGAATAACTGTATATTGTGAATATAGGCTACAGAGTATACTGTATACATTATAAGATAAGATAAACTTTATATATCACACAGAGTATGTACAGTATATATTTTGTTACATTAGTACTGTATACATTTTTACATTTTCTCCTGGAGGTGTGCCGCAAGATTTTTTCAGTAAAAAAAGTGTGCCTTGGCTCAAAAAAGGTTGAAAAACACTGGACTAGAGGACTGGGTTGGCGTCGCTGGCTCCGCCCTAAGTTGGTTTAGGTCTTACTTTGAAGACAGGAAGTACTTTGTGGAGATTGGAAACTGTGTCTCAGATCATATGGCCCTGACCTGTGGAGTCCCACAGGGGTCGATCCTGGGACCTCTTCTGTTCAATCTCTACATGCTGCCGTTAGGTCAGTTAATACGCAGAAACAAAGTTTCCTATCATAACTATGCAGACGACACTCAGATCTATGTCTCACTGACTGCAGGAGAACATGGACCAGTGGACTCACTCCTTCACTGTATCCAACAGATCAGTGAGTGGATGCAAAACAACTTCCTTCAGCTAAACGCAGACAAAACTGAAATGATTGTCTTTGGTCCCCAGAAACAAAGAGAGAGCGTCATCTGTCACCTACAGTCTCTCTCCCTAAAACCTTCAAACAAGGTCAGAAATCTAGGGGTAATACTGGACTCAGACTTAAATTTTAATAGCCACATCAAATCAGTAACATCAGCAGCTTTTTACCATCTAAAAAACATTGCCAGGATCAAAAACATAGTGTCTAAAGCAGACTTGGAGATTCTTATCCATGCATTTGTCTCCAGTAGGTTAGACTACTGCAATGGCCTGCTCACAGGTCTGTCCAAACAGGCTGTAAAACAGCTGCAGTACATTCAAAATGCAGCAGCTCGAGTCCTGACTAGAACCAGGAAGTACGACCATATTAGTCCTGACTAGAACCAGGAAGTACGACCACATTAGTCCTGACTAGAACCAGGAAGTACGACCACATTAGTCCTGACTAGAACCAGGAAGTACGACCGCATTAGTCCAGTCCTCAGGTCTCTGCACTGGCTTCCTGTGGCTCAGAGAATAGACTTTAAAACAGCTTTGCTTGTTACAAGTCTCTCCATGGCCTCGCACCAAAATATATTAGTGACATGTTAGTCCCATATGAACCAGCCCGGACTCTGAGGAGCACAGGGACTGGACTCCTGCTGGGACTCTGAGGAGCACAGGGACTGGACTCCTGCTGGGACTCTGAGGAGCACAGGGACTGGACTCCTGCTGGGACTCTGAGGAGCACAGGGACTGGACTCCTGCTGGGACTCTGAGGAGCACAGGGACTGGCCTCCTGCTGGGACTCTGAGGAGCACAGGGACTGGACTCCTGCTGGGACTCTGAGGAGCACAGGGACTGGCCTCCTGCTGGGACTCTGAGGAGCACAGGGACTGGACTCCTGCTGGGACTCTGAGGAGCACAGGGACTGGACTCCTGCTGGGACTCTGAGGAGCACAGGGACTGGCCTCCTGCTGGGACTCTGAGGAGCACAGGGACTGGCCTCCTGCTGGGACTCTGAGGAGCACAGGGACTGGACTCCTGCTGGGACTCTGAGGAGCACAGGGACTGGACTCCTGCTGGGACTCTGAGGAGCACAGGGACTGGACTCCTGCTGGGACTCTGAGGAGCACAGGGACTGGCCTCCTGCTGGGACTCTGAGGAGGAGCACACTCTGAGGAGCACAGGGACTGGACTCCTGCTGGGACTCTGAGGAGCACAGGGACTGGACTCCTGCTGGGACTCTGAGGAGCACAGGGACTGGACTCCTGCTGGGACTCTGAGGACCACAGGGGGCCTGGCCCTGCTGGACAGGGACTGGACTCCTGCTGGGACTCTGAGGAGCACAGGGACTGGACTCCTGCTGGGACTCTGAGGAGCAACAGGGACTGGACTCCTGCTGGGACTCTGAGGAGCACAGGGACTGGACTCCTGCTGGGACTCTGAGGAGCACAGGGACTGGACTCCTGCTGGGACTCTGAGGAGCACAGGGACTGGACTCCTGCTGGGACTCTGAGGAGCACAGGGACTGGACTCCTGCTGGGACTCTGAGGAGCACAGGGACTGGACTCCTGTTAGTGCCAGAGTCAGAACTAAACATGGGGAGGCTGCTTTTCAGATTCATGCTGCTAAAATCTGGAACAGTCTTCCTGAAGATGTGAGACAGGCCTCCTCTCTGACAATGTTTAAGACAAGGTTGAAAACAGTTCTGTTTAGCTGTGCATACAACTGAGGGATGTTATATTTTTATCTTTTTTTAATGTACTGTGATTATTTATGATTTTAATGCTTTCTTGTTCTGTTCAGCACTTTGAATTGCCTTGTGTATGAATTGTGCTATATAAATAAACTTGCCTTGCCTTGCCTTGCCTTGCCTAATCATGCATGATTAGGGTTGGGCATCGTTTGCAATTTTCCGATTCCGATTCCGGTTCCAATTCTCACTATCGATTCCTGTTCTAAACGATTCTCGATTCCGATTCTTTGAGGTGCAGGAGAGAAAAAAAAAAGATAATTTTTTATCAATTTTTATTTCATAAGTACTTTTCCTGCCATAAGGCAACAGAAAGTGCTTTACATAAAAACAAATTAAATTAAAAAACAAGGAACACGAACACACACACACACCAGTAGCGGCGCCAGGTTTGCAATTTTGGGTTTGTTTGTTCATGTTTATGTAATAATAAATATGCGCTATATATTCAGCTGCGTTTTGAACAAATTTGCCAAAATGTTTTGATACATTAGAACAGTGTCTCCCAAAGTGGGGTCCGCGGCCCCCTAGTGGGCCGCGAGGGTACTGCAGGGGGGCCGCGGGAGGTCATTAAAAAAAATAAAAAAATAATATAATTATTTAATGTTAAATTTATAATGTTTTGTTTGTAATATCAAAATATTTGTGTTCATTATTTGACTTGAATAATCCACTGTAATCATTTTTGTATTACAATGTTTGTAGCAGAAGCTATTTCCCCAAAATAAAATAACCAGAAGAGCCTATTCTTAATGTTGTCTTCTTGGTTATTATTTTTGGGGGCCACGCAGACCCGTCAGATTTTTAAGGGGGCCTCGGTGTTACTGAGTTTGGGAATGGCTGCATTAGAAAAATCTCTCTTGAACAGTGTTGCCAACTCCTCAGTAAGGAAAGTAGCTATTGGCTGTCCCAAAAGTCGCTAGAAGTCGCTAAATGACGTCATCGCCTAATTTGCATAATTTTCCATTTGCAAATAACTGTAACGGACGCTGTAGGAGAGAGGAATAAGGTCGTGGGAGAGACAAAAGTGAGTAAAAACACCCTAAATATGTTTAGAACTACAAATGTACAAAAATAATTTCAACATTAACAACATTTAATGATTTTAATGCTTTGTCTAGATCCACATTACACACATCAGTTTTGTCCTGTATTGTTAAATGTTATAACAGCAAATGTAATCAAAAGATTGTTATGTAGGGTGAAATTGCTAGCTCTACAACCAACCCTCCTCCTTTATCCGGGCTTGGGACCGGCAAAGTGACCCAAAAGACACACTCTGGCAGAGTTACTTAGGTTTATTTTTGTAAGTTTTTTTTTTTTTCATAGTTTGGCATAACAAATGATTTAATGTGACCCACTACTGAGAGAAAACAGAGTCACGGACAGAGCTGCCGCGGATGGAGTGGGGGGTAGTGGGGGGTGGCGGTGGTAGGAGTGGCCGGGGAGCTTTGGATGTGTGGTGGTGGTGGAGCTGAAGTTCAGTCTGCAGCAGCCTGAAAACTTCCTGTGCTTTTGAGTCTCCTCTCTCTCTCTCTGCTCCGCCCATAGACTGTAGCTGGGACTGCTGCGCAAGGCTACTGTGAGACTGGCCGCCTGTAAGTGCTTTGGGACGGGGGAGGGGCTCACGTTGAGGACAGCAGAACAATACGTGCTTCACGAGTCTCCAAAACACCAGATAAGTCGCCAATAACACCAGATAAGTCGCCAATAACACCAGAAAAAGTCGCTAGATTTGTCGCTAGTCGCTTTTTTGAAAAAAAGTCGCTATAGGGGTCTGAAAAGTCGCTAAATCTAGCGACAAAGTCGCTAAGTTGGCAACACTGCTCTTGAATTGTAGAAGTGAATAAATATAGATTGATTGAATGAATGATTAATTCATATTTATTATGCAGCGGTGGCTCTGAATGAAGCGTCTGCAGCGTCTTGGACGCAGCCTGGCTCGGGGTAGAAGTGCGCATTGAAGCACTGTACACTTCAGAGAGCGTTTGCGGTCCAGATTTCACAAAGAAACTCTGAAGCCAAAACTTCTGCACATGTGGCCGACCTCTCACGGCACTCGCTGCGCACTCTGGACAGGGCAACAATATTTAAATTATGACTTTTAATAAAAAAGGCTAATGACTTGAGAGGCGAAGAACAAATTTGAGTAGGCCAAGAAAAAAACTGGTACGGGCCTACCCAGGCCTATCCCTGGCGCCGCGGCTGACACACACACACACACACACACACACACACACACACACACACACAAGCTGTGTTTATGTGGCACCGCCCACCATCATCTCAGAGCGGCTGAAATGTAAACACGTCTCTGTAAACCGCTGAAAAACGGCTAAAGTGAGAATACTGGAGGATTATCGTTGGACGGACAGATTTGACCAAAGCACAAGGACTCGTGCATCGTGTTTTCGGAGTTTTTTACGGATTATTACATGGAGGAGGAGCAGGACTTTTTGCGGTCCTCGGCAGGTGGACAGCGTGTTTCCCTTCTTCATAATTACAAAGGGCCTGACCAGTAACTTTAAGGTAAGGAACATCAGTTTTGGATGTGTTTGTAAAGCGAGTGATGAAACTGATGTAGCGTGAGTTTGGGGAAACTGCACCGGGCTAGCACGAGTGTTCAACCGGTCAATACGCCCGTTAAACCTCGCTGTCTGGACTCTAACTTAACCAAATAATATCTGAATTAGTCATTTGACGGATAAATGTTTGCTTCCTTTACCCCTTGACTCAGTTTTATCGGCGTTTGTGGAAAATGTGAAGATACAAGCGTTGAGAGGTTTCTTTGCGATGGCAGGAGTGTGTGGCTGAAGCTAAATGTGGCAAATACTGAGCAAACACGAGCGCGCCGTCTCATAAGAGCTTAATTCACTGAGTTTTTCACAAAGCACAAAGGTGGACAGCTGCTAAGCATTTTTGAAGGGGGTGTCCCCCCCCCCACCTTCCAAACGCTTCCGACGCCGCTGTGCGGGCCGCATCCGGCATTTAGGAATCGAAAAAAGAATCAAAATACAAACGTCTTCTTAACGGTTCCGGAACCGCACTTTAGGAACCGGTTCCAAATAGGAACCGGTTCTCGGTGCCCAACCCTATGCATGATTAACAACTTTATAAAGTAACTTTAACTGTTGCTTTGAGATCCAGTTTGTATTTGTGTTTTTTTTCATCTCTATTAGCTGCTCAGACACAACTATTCTTTGAAATGACTGGGGCAGAAAATAACTGATTATTTATATTTTCTCTAGTTGACCCAAACAAAGATTCAGTGACGCTCCTGGAGAACATCTTCATAGAGATTGTTACAGATTGGGCCGTTTGACTAAAAACCTCTAATCTTTATACTTAAAGATACATTACAACTCTATCACTGATCCGCACCCGGCAACGAATGAAGCGGAAGAAAATGGAATGGATTTATGGAGTTTATGGATTTACTGTAGAGGTGGACGATAGCCTGGCTCCAGCCAAACTTTAGGCTCGCCTACAATAATTTCACCACTGAAATAACTAAATAATATGAATGATAAAACTAGAAATATATGAACACAAGAATACATAACAATACTAATATATAAACAACAATTCCGGTCACTATTATACACGCTTCATATCCATATAATAGTAATCCTCGTCCTCACCTCATTGGGCAGCGTGATCACCGGGCTCTGGCGGCCAGCCCCTGGGAGCCTGCTGTGGAAGTAGTGGCTACAGGCGCAGAGCACTGAGGCGTGGGCCCTGAAGCTGTGGTCCTGCACCAGTACAGTCACATCACACAGGACGTCCCGCAGCCGCTGCTCATTCAGACTCTGCAGCACCCAGCTACTGTGCACGGCTGACTGAAAGGTGAAGACCGAAGAGCGAGCAGACAGCCCCGACATGGTGTGAGGAGGGGGAGGCCTGGAGGGTCACCAGAGAGAAGGCCAAGTTTAAATGTAAGTGCATAGTGATATTATAGAGAAGACACACTTCTACACATAGCATATATTATGATGTTGGTACAAATACAAACCTAGCTGCTATGTAATTAGACTTAAAGATCAGTTAGAGGATCAATCTATTAGATCTTAAAACATAAGTGAAAACGTGAATTCTTTTAATGCATTTGACAATAACAAAGCTAAATGACCAAAGGTCACTAGAGAACAATTCCATAAGGACAACACAATTAACACAATTCACAGTAATTGTGAAAGCCAGATCCTGTCAGACCTCTATACAGTACGAGCTCGAAAGTAGGGTTGCAGATATAAACAATTTAATCCATCAAGTTATCTATTGTGTATTATTTATTTAAGTGTTACAGAATGTGTTATCTATATTGCGAGATCAATATGTTGCCTTTAATGCCGTAGTTGGCACAGAACAGAAATAAACATTCAGCTCGAGTCCTGATTAGAACCAGGAAGTATGTATTTAAGCAGCTCTGCTTGTGTGCAGGACTCTCCATGGTACAAAGTACATCCATAACATGGTAGTGCCATACAGTATGAACCAACTCAGAATTCCAGGTTCATGTGGGTAAAATCTGGAAAAAGCCTTCTTGAAAATATGAGACAGGTTTTTACTCTGACAATGTTAAAATGCAACTGAAGGATTGTTTCAATTATTTGAATGCATGATATGATTTTCTGGTACGTCACTAGTTCCCTTGTGTATAAATTGTGCTATACAAAAGAACTATACACAAGAACTAACATTTCCCAAAGTGGAAAATATACGAGACTGTTTTTTTTCCACAGATGTGTGTGACAAAAGGCCATAATGTGAGAGCCAGAGTTGAACTCATGAGAACACACACAAACCTGAAAGCACTTTGAATTTAGAGATGACATGGACTTGTGGCTCACGTCTATCAAAAAATAGGTTAAATGACGTCCAATTGTCACCATTTACAGAACTAACTTTAATGTCGCAGGAACACGAAAACTATGTCTACTGCACGTACAGCAAACTAACATTACAAAATAGTAGCATATAACAGATTATTTACAGTGTGCCAAAAAACACAATAAGTTTAAGTAGTGTTGACAAGACTCAAAATAGACATGACGTTACATAATGAAAATACAGGCAATATACTGTACATAACTCAACTATTCGATTGCCCTTTATTTACTCAACATGAAGCTTAAACACGTGTCCACCAGGTATGTCTCCATTATTCTGATCTGTTATGGCTCTGACGTAAAGCCATAGTCAGTGACGTAAAGCCATAGTCAGCAGTCTAAAGCGCTGACTCATGCTTAGCCAACTTACCGTAATGACCTGCACTTTCACCACATACTGCAAATAATGACGAACTGCCACATTCATCACACTCGACACCAGAGGAAAACATGTCATCGAATGTAAAGAGACACAGCTCGGCCCACCACAGCATGCACACACGCTCTTTCCAGAACACTGAGGCTTAAACGTGCTTAAACGTGCTTAAATATAACACTAAGTCGATGCAAATGCGCCACAAACCTGTCAGGGGTGAGTAGGAGGAGGATCCATGAGTATGTACTGCTGGGGAGTCTTGATCGGGGGTGTCCTGGTTCTGTAGGTCCACATGCGAAACTTCCTCTGGTCTTGTGACGGCCAGGGCACACACTGCGCATGCGCAGGAGGGGAGCTGCCAAATGCCTTCACTTCATCCGTTATGTGAGCAATGAAAATATGTGACGCGTTTGGCCGAAATGCATTATCTAAAAACAAATAGCTGTAGATGTTTTATTTTCATGAGGGATATTTAGAAATGTGAAAGCCCAGTCCTTGCAGACCTTTTCAGCAAAGCAGGGCATGGCATGGTTAGTACTGTGATGGGCGGCCTTTTAACACCAGGTGACAATGTTTGAATTATGAAACATATTTTTCCACTCCTTTCGTGAGAGCCGGGCCTTAGCCCTCCGTGCACTCCACTCCCTTTGTACTATGGTATGGTACGACCAGGCTACTTAGCCGGGAGAATTAAATGCGGTGGGCCGGGGCTGTTTATACATAATTATCCGCATTTTTTTCTCTAAAGGAAAAGCATAATTCTTTTTAAAGGTGGTCCCCTCGTTCTCACTTTTGTCGAAAAAGCTGATCTAACGATGACAGAAGCTAAAAACACATGCATGTTAGTGATAGAACAGTTTGGTTCTATCACTCTCTGGGAACAAAATGGGATTTTATATTTGGTTAAATGTTTGAGTGGTTTAAAGTTATGTACCTTAACTTCTATTTAGGTTCCCAAAGTGGGGGTACTCCCTGCTTATATTTGGAACGGGCAATTTTAACTTGAATTTTGTCCAGTCCACTCTTTCCCCCAAAATATATTTAGGTATTTATAGTTTATTTTTAGTATATTTTTGGGCGACAGTAGCTCAGTTGGTAGAGCATTGGCCTTAAGGCCAGAGGGTTCGTGGGTTCAATTCCCACCTCTGCACCTTCTCCACCGACTCCCACTGATGACTGCTGTCATTGTGTCCTTGGGCAAGACACTTAACCCCACTTTGCCTGAAGCCCCCACTGAAAGATCAAGGCTATGCTCACAGTCAGAGAGCAGCCGTCCTCCTGTGGACTCACCACCTGCAGAGGGTCAGTGAGGGGCTGGTGCTATGAGACTTGGGTGGCATCTCTGACTGCCACCCCCCTGACCCAGAAATGGATTAAAGGGAAGAAAATGGATGGATGGATGGATAGTTTATTTTGATGAAAATATTAGGAGGCATGGTTTTTAGTCTGGGGCGACAGTAGCTCAGTTGGTAGAGCATTAGCCTTAAGGCCAGAAGGTCGTGGGTTCAATTCCCACCTTCTCCACCGACTCCTACTGATGACTGCTGTTGTTGTGTCCTTGGGCAAGACACTTAACCCCACTTTGCCTAAAGCCCCCGCTGGAAGATCTCAGCTCCTGTGGACTCACCACCTGCAGAGGGTCAGTGAGGGGCTGGTGCTATGAGACTTGGGTGGCATCTCTGACTGCCACCCCCCTGACCCAGAAATGGATTAAAGGGAAGAAAATGGATGGATGGATTTTTAGTCTGTATGTAGCCAGTTTGGCCCAAGCAACTAACCGCTACTTTCATGAAGATTATTTATGAATAAACCATTCGAAGTCCTTGTAACTGTACTATACCGCCTGACACAGTATTGCTTTAAAACACAAAAACAAAACATGACCAAGACAAATTATTTTATAAAACATTTAATTTGATGGTAATGCTAAAAAAAAATAATAATAATAATAATTTTGTACAAATTAGTTTTCCAGCATGACATCATTTCTACAGTGTCCACATATAAAACACACTTTGTTGTTGATAATTGACGTCGATATATTGTTTTATTTGATCCGACTCAAACGTCCAGGCACGCACGCTGTCCACGCAGTGTGTGCACGCACACACTGAAGTCCACATACACACAGATCTCAGTGAATCCATAGGTAGAGCAGACCTGGGGCCTATTGGATCCTCTCATAGAAGAGTAGGTAGGCCTGGCAGCCTAGGGCTTTCCCCTCGCTTACAGGCTGAACGCTGGTGTCGCTGATGTGGAACCAGGAGCCTTTGGGGGCCTCTGTGTCACCTACAACCATTAACAGAAGGAGTTAAAGTGCAGTAAACACAGCATGTCTCAACCACACACTGTATAGAGAGATAGACAATGGTAACCCCGCTGATATACTGTAGCGGAAAATTCACCTTGTGCTGAAACGCCGTTGGACTCCAATGGGGCGCATCGTGGCCGTGCTTTGACGTAGGCCGTGTAATGCCCGGAGCGCATTGTCCCGCTGTGCTCCACGATCCCATAGAGGCTATAGAGGATCTGAGAGTCCCCCTCAGCCGTGCTCTGAGGGGTGAAACAGCAGTCTCTCATGTCAGTTGTGCAGGTAACGGATATGAAACATGAATGTGGCTATTAGTGTCGAGTTACCTTGCAGTTGAGAGCGCAGAAAGGAGCCAAGTCCAGTATGCTGGGGAATTGGACGTGCCGATTTACTTTACAGATGCTGAAGCCGTTCTGTAAAAAAAAGCAGCGAACCGATGAGAAGTTTATTCACAGCAGATTCATTATATTTATTTGGTGAGGGTTTGCTTTTTATTTTACCAAATGCTTAAGAGAGACAGGAGGAAAGTTCATGCATTGATTTTAATGTTTCCATATCTCTGTTTTCCAATATGGCTGCTGTAGTACTGTTGAAAGAAAACATTTAACTCCCTCTATATAGATTACAGACACATATATGGAGTGTTTATAGATTTATATTTTAGAAGCAATGTGGTAGAAAAATGCTGGAACTCCATACTTTATTCTGACATGGAAGCAAACAGCCAAGGTAAGCAGCATGCTCCAAGTCTCACTCTATTCTTGGTATTTAGGGTTAATATTCACTTATTCCACGCTCCTCACAGCAGCAGGAGAACGCTCCATTGATCTGAATCTAATTTCAAAACATTCTACCGGTCATTATTTCTTATAACAGACCTCTCAAAACAATAATGACCGCTGCCCTTTGGCAACGCACTCTCTGCTTGTAATTCATGTGTAGATTGCTCCGCAAGTAGTTCCGGCCACTCCGGAGCTAGCCAGGCTCAATCAACGCAAATACCAATCAATCAATGCCATTAAATGTTAATCGCAGAATACACTGGACATATACATTCTTCACACACGAGCACGGAGGGTTTCAGCATTTTCTGTTAAGGTTTTCATGACAAAAAATACTATTTTGATGCGAGAGATAGCGATCGCAAAATACCCAGAAGTAGATTCCGGGACATTTTAGGAACATTTGGAAAGGATTGAATTATGGATTTAGGTTTAGTTTATGTTTGGGTCACTCACCGCTGATGTTCAGGATTCTGTGTTCAGTTTTCATGTAGTTCCAGAGAGTTCTAGTTTAGGAGTTACTAGCCTAACTGTTACTAGCCTAACTGTTGCTAGTGTCAGGATTTAGCAGCTAGCCTAACTGTTGCTAGCATAGCCACGGGAAAGCCTTTGGGAACTATTTTATTTTCTGTCATTAAATAAACCTTTTGGCATTCCTAAGAGTGGACTGAAGTTTATTGTGTGTGTTCTGTTGGTGCAAAGCCATATAATAAGCGGGATAATGTATCGTACACAGGTCATTATCGGAAAATAAGAAAATAAGTACCTTCAGGGCGGAAGCAGACCCCTCCGCTGCTCATCGGGGTCCGCGTCGCCCTGTCGGTATATATTTTTCGATAATGACCTGTGTACTATACATTATACCTTACTTGTTGCTTCCATTTGTGACTCTTAAAACACACATTGAATAAAGATTAAAGCTTGGAGCAGGAACTGTAAATGTAATTGGAGCTAAGATTAGGGTGTGGCTTGGATTATACCCTGTTCCCGGAGCTACGCTTCCCATTTCAGTTATGTGTACCTTTAAACATGAAAACCTGTGGCTTGCATTCGACTGCCTTCTGCTTATGTAAAAAGTTTATTTTCTTTGAAAATAAACTGGTGAAGCTGTGCGAGGCGGCTGAAACCTCCAGTTTCAGAACATAAAATTGGTGAAGGAAGTAAGTAAAATCCAAGGTGGTACGGTCAGAGGACTGAGAGCAACCAGCATAAACTGTGCTGATAACAGTGAAAAGTTTATGTTCAAACTATAATAATGATTACAGTGACTGCCGATGAGAGTTCGAGATGAGATTTGGACTATATTTTATATTTTTGTGTGAGTTCTCGTCCCAGCTCTCGTCTGTAACAATCAAGTGGGTAAACAAACCTGTTGAAAGCGTTTCAGATGAAGAGTGAGCACTGGAGGAGGAGAGGAGATCAGCATCTGCTTCAGGGCTTCAGTGTACACCTTCTGTGGGTCTACACAAACAATAAATGCAATCATTTCTGCAATCCTCACCTTTCTTACATTATTGATGCACTCTTTATTCAATTTCTTTGCTTAGAATTACTTCTGGGTCTGAAAGGCATACACATTAAGAGTTCATTTCAAAATACCAATCTCCATTTTGACAATGTATCAAAAGTTGTATTCCCCGAGTTACAAAATACAAAACCTTTCATTAATGGTCGTGAAATTTAAACTATTTAAAAAGGGATGAAACTTTATTTCACTATGTATCTGGTTTTGCATAAACTTAAAGAGCAAATATGTTTCACTTTTTTTTCTCTAATTGCCCTTATTGGTTTTTCAGCAAAATAACTTTATATACTACGAAGAACAAAAGAGTGAAGTCTTTTCACTTCAATAGAATATGTTTTACTTTGTAAGGGACCCTATTACGCACAACTTTGTCCTCGTCAATGACAGACCTGGAGTTATCTTTAGCTCCATCCATTACACCAGCCGATGGTGGCCTCATTTTTTGTTGAGAACAGTTTATCAACAAGAAACAAACCAAAGCTCACGAAGAACGAACCCCGTGTGTCTGAGCTGCTGAAGACAGGGCCCCAACTCAAGCCTCACCATCACAGTAAGAAAGAGAACTTTTTAAAGCATAGACTGTTGATAAACAGCACATTTTATGCCTGTCCGGCCTGAAGACGTTTGTTTGACACTTGTGGTCCTTAATATTGTCTGTTAAACCAGTGCTCGGCACTAAAAAGGTTAGAGCATAGACTGTAGATGGACGATGCTAACCCACTAAGTTTTGCTCATGGACAAAGTTTTGTTTCAACTCGCTTCGGCTCCTATTGACTGAAAAGTAAAGGGGCGTTCACACCGGACTTAACTTCGGCGTCAAAAGCGTCAGGTTTGCATTGAAAGTGAATGGTGAAGCGCGTCAGGTGAAGCCGAGAGCCCCGGCGTCACTTGACGCGCGTCAAAAGCTTCAAGAGTCGCGCGTACTACGCGCTCACTTGAAGCTTTTGACGCGCGAAACGCTCGCGTATCACAACAATCCCTCTGACGCCGAAGCTGAGCAAAGCTGAGCTTTTGAAGCTTTGACGCGGGCTTCAACCAATCAGGAGACGAGGAGCAGCAGCAGCAGAGGGTCTGTCTCTGTCATGAAGAGAAGTCATGCTGCTGCTGTTTTATTGTCATTATTGTTATTAGTAATATTATTTGTATGAGTAGTAACGTTCTGAGTAACAAAATCATTGTACACATGCTGTGTAGTAAACGTAGTTTATTTAAAATAAGAACAGGCTGACGATGAGTCTGGCTCAGAGCAAGGCAGCTCCGGGCGGGCGAGAGCCGGGGAGAGGCAGGGAGAGGCGAGGAGAGGCAGGGAGAGCCGGGGAGAGGCGAGCGAGAGCCGGGGAGAGGCAGGGAGAGGCGAGCGAGAGCCGGGGAGAGGCGAGGGAGAGGCAGGGAGAGGCAGGGAGAGGCAGGGAGAGGCAGGGAGAGGCGAGAGCCGGGGAGAGGCAGGGAGAGGCAGGGAGAGGCAGGGAGAGGCAGGGAGAGGCAGGGAGAGGCGAGAGCCGGGGAGAGGCGAGGGAGAGGCAGGGAGAGGCAGGGAGAGGCGAGCGAGAGCCGGGGAGAGGCGAGGGAGAGGCGAGGGAGAGGCAGGGAGAGGCAGGGAGAGGCGGGCGAGAGCCGGGGAGAGGCGAGCGAGAGCCGTGGAGAGGCAGGGAGAGGCGGGGAGAGGCGAGCGAGAGCCGGGGAGAGGCAGGGGAGAGGCGGGAGAGGCGAGCGAGAGCCGGGGAGAGGCGAGCGAGAGGCAGGGAGAGGCAGGGAGAGGCAGGGAGAGGCAGGGAGAGAGGCGAGCGAGAGCCGGGGAGAGGCAGGGAGAGGCAGGGAGAGGCGGGGAGAGGCGAGCGAGAGCCGGGGAGAGGCGAGCGAGAGGCAGGGAGAGGCAGGGAGAGGCAGGGAGAGGCGAGCGAGAGCCGGGGAGAGGCGAGCGAGAGGCAGGGAGAGGCAGGGAGAGGCAGGGAGAGGCAGGGAGAGGCAGGGAGAGGCGAGCGAGAGCCGGGGAGAGGCAGGGAGAGGCAGGGAGAGGCAGGGAGAGGCAGGGAGAGGCGGGGAGAGGCGAGCGAGAGCCGGGGAGAGGCAGGGAGAGGCAGGGAGAGGCGAGCGAGAGCCGGGGAGAGGCAGGGAGAGGCAGGGAGAGGCGAGCGAGAGCCGGGGAGAGGCGAGAGCCGGGGAGAGGCAGGGAGAGGCAGGGAGAGGCAGGGAGAGGCGAGCGAGAGCCGGGGAGAGGCGAGAGCCGGGGAGAGGCAGGGAGAGGCGAGAGCGAGGCGGGGAGAGGCGAGAGCCGGGGAGAGGCAGGGAGAGGCGAGAGCGAGGCGGGGAGAGGCGAGCTCCGGGGTTTGAGAACTCAAACCGGGCGAGTGACATGCGGAAGTACTGCTGAAAGCGAGACTCCTCCGTACGCAGCTCCTGGAGTAAATGACGGAACTCTGCAAACACTGCAGCCTCTCAAGTCTGTGGTGAACCCAGAACATGTTTTGTTGAAGCCCTACAACAACGTTATTTTGCTTTATATAATAAATAAAGGCTCGCTGCTCATTGAAAAATCCACCGCTGTCTTGACTACAGACAACAGAGAAGCTCCTCCCACAGACAACAGAGAAGCTCCTCCCACAGACAACAGAGAAGCTCCTCCCACAGACAACAGAGAAGCTCCTCCCACAGACAACAGAGAAGCTCCTCCCACCGACAACAGAGAAGCTCCTCCCACCGACAACAGAGAAGCTCCTCCCACAGACAACAGAGAAGCTCCTCCCACAGACAACAGAGAAGCTCCTCCCACAGGCAACAGAGAAGCTCCTCCCACCGGCGTCAGGCGCGTAACTCGCGTCAAAAGCTTCAAGCACCAAAATGACAAAACTATCCCGCCGTCAGTTGAAGCGCGTCAAAAGCTTTTTGAAGCTTTTGGTCTGAACGCGCCTTAACCGTCTTCTAGTTCGGTAATCCATGGTTTAGCTCTCTCTATGATCCTGATGTTTATATTTTAGCATAGTCTTCAGTCTATTTTTGTATGGCTTGATTTACAATCAATGCCCTCATTCGGGGAAACTCCAGGTTGCCTTAGCAACCATCCTAGCATCTGCCTACGTTACGACATGAAGCTAACTCAGTCGTAACACATTTTTCCCACTTTTGAATTAGAGCAAAAGAGCTATAAGAAGCAAATATATTTTGCAATATTTATATATTAATAAATCAGTTATACAGGCTCAAAGGTACTGACAACTCATCTGCAGGAATACGAACTAAGGATTAGAGTAATTAATATTTGAGAAATAGTCTCCTTACATTCTTCACACCATATTGATATTATGGATGTGAAGCAGCCGTTGAAAGTGCTGGACTTTCCAACTCATAGTGACACAGCACGTTTCCCTCTGCACCGTGAAGCTCTCACTGCTTTGTAAATGATTTTCCAGTTCTGACCTGAGCAGCATCTGTTAATATTCAGAACATAGATTTGCAGTCTTTGCGATGTGACAATTGCCTTTGTTTCATCCAAAACGTTGTAATATTTGATTGGATAGAAAAAAACAACTCAGATTGTTTTAGGCAGCAGAAATACAAAGAATGGTCTGTAAGAACAAATATTTGATGATGGCATTGTGGACAAGCAGTAAGAGTACCAGCTCCTGATCTTCCTGCAGGTGGGGAGTCAACAGGACAGCTGCTCTAGTCTGAGCTGCTTTGATCTTTTAAAGCCTTGGCTTCAGGCAAAGTGGGATTAAGTCTCTTGCCCAAAGACACAGCGACAGCAGTGAGAGTCGTGAAGTAGGCCTTGTGGTGGGCTCAAACCCACGTCCTTCAGGCGCAAAGGCCAATGCTCTACCAACTGAGCTACTGTCCCATCGAAAAGGTTTGTTTATTGGTCATCTTTTGAAGTGGATCGCCAAGTCAGCTCAAGAAGGTTTTTTGTAATTTCGGTAAAAAAACATTTGTAGGTGTGTATGTGAAAAATATCTGTAGGTGAAAGACTGTAGAGGGCATAAAACTCGACGACAGACCCGGGAGGATCAAAATAAATGTGGCCCTGGGGTAAACAAGAGGTGGGTCTTAATCTCCCAAATTACCTTTAAGGGTTTTTGAAGAGGAGAAGGCTGTGTAAGGCTGTGTATAAACTTTAATCTACAGATTAAAGTTTAAATGTAATTTCCACCATTGTTGTAAATTGGTTTAAATCTTTAGAGTAAAATAAGTTATGTGGTTGTTTATCTGAGGGAAAGAGCTTGAACGTTCGGTATAAAGCAGCTCCGTACCAAGTTTCGAGTCTTTTGGGTTTTAACCATAGACTGTAAATATTAACAGACAGTCACGCCTATCTCCTCCGTTCTAACAAATGGGCCAAAAATTGTGCTCTACTGGAGCTATCCAAAATGGCCGTGAGTGGTCCCGCCCACAAGAAAATTGTGCATGCGTCAGCCGGAGAGAGCTCCATTCATTTAAACGAGAGACTTCTAAAGTCCACAGCGACTAAACTAGACTGGTCCAGAACACTCAGCATTGACACACATGTGGAACGGAGCTTTGGGCCAAGAGACAACTTTTGGTCCATCCTGTAAATACGTTTTCCAGAGGTAAGAAGATGCTATATGTTAGCATTGGCTAATTCTTATTCCGGGTCCACCCCCACAGGCCCGGGGTGGTACTGCAGCATGTCAGCACACGACATTTTGAGCCGGGACCCGCCCACACTGGTTTGAACAGGTTTCACAACGATACTTGGAATTAGCTTGTGGACTATACGATATATAATCCCAAAATTGCTAATTAGGCAAACAACTACTCCCCTACTATCCATATTCTCCGATGTCAGACTTGGAGGGCTAAGACAATCTACAGTAGATTATTTATGACAATGGTCAAAACTGTTTTCCTGTCATTTCACACTCCGACCACTATATGGGAGTGTTGGAACATGTGTTTGTCATGTTTATCCTTTTGTATTATAGATATTTTCTTCAATGACACATTGTTACCAGCGTGGCTTCTCTTGGTGCAGGTGACACAGAGCAGGCTGTTGTTCTGGCTTAGCGTCTCCACCTCGCTGAAGTGGAACAGGCAGGACTGGATCGAACACTCCTGCTTTTCTGGGGCAGTCCTCTGGGCCAGGGTGCGGAAGGCCGAGTCGGGGTCCTGGTTCACCACCATATACTCGGTGGGCTGCTCGGGCTCTTCTGGCTGCTCGGGCTCTTCATGGTACTGCTCCGTGTTGGCCTCATCTTCTAAAAAGGCTTTGTCCAGATCTACACATTTATAAAACATATTTCTTAAGAAGTGTATTGCAATAAACAAATATCTTGAAATAATTAATAAACCACCTTAAAGTTTGTAAACGCAGACATTTTCAAGTTGAAACAGGCGCCGTCAGTCATGAGAAGTGAAAGCAGCCTGGACAGATTTTATCCTATACTATGGGAGGGACCTGCGGGGCCGCCTCGGACTATCTGCGCTCGGACTATCTGCGCTCGGACTATCTGCGCTCGGACTATCTGCGCTCGGACTATCTGCGCTCGGACTATCTGCGCTCGGACTATCTGCGCTCGGACTATCTGCGCTCGGACTATCTGCGCTCGGACTATCTGCGCTCGGACTATCTGCGCTCGGACTATCTACGCTCGGACTATCTACGCTCGGACTATCTGCGCTCGGACTATCTGCGCTCGGACTATCTGCGCTCGGACTATCTGCGCTCGGACTATCTGCGCTCGGACTATCTGCGCTCGGACTATCTGCGCTCGGACTATCTGCGCTCGGACTATCTGCGCTCGGACTATCTGCGCTCGGACTATCTGCGCTCGGACTATCTGCGCTCGGACTATCTGCGCTCGGACTATCTACGCTCGGACTATCTGCGCTCGGACTATCTGCGCTCGGACTATCTACGCTCGGACTATCTGCGCTCGGACTATCTGCGCTCGGACTATCTGCGCTCGGACTATCTACGCTCGGACTATCTGCGCTCGGACTATCTGCGCTCGGACTATCTGCGCTCGGACTATCTGCGCTCGGACTATCTACGCTCGGACTATCTACGCTCGGACTATCTGCGCTCGGACTATCTACGCTCGGACTATCTACGCTCGGACTATCTGCGCTCGGACTATCTGCGCTCGGACTATCTGCGCTCGGACTATCTGCGCTCGGACTATCTGCGCTCGGACTATCTGCGCTCGGACTATCTGCGCTCGGACTATCTGCGCTCGGACTATCTACGCTCGGACTATCTGCGCTCGGACTATCTACGCTCGGACTATCTACGCTCCACTATCTGCGCTCGGACTATCTGCGCTCGGACTATCTACGCTCGGACTATCTGCGCTCGGACTATCTGCGCTCGGACTATCTGCGCTCGGACTATCTACGCTCGGACTATCTACGCTCGGACTATCTACGCTCGGACTATCTACGCTCGGACTATCTACGCTCGGACTATCTACGCTCGGACTATCTGCGCTCGGACTATCTACGCTCGGACTATCTGCGCTCGGACTATCTACGCTCGGACTATCTGCGCTCGGACTATCTGCGCTCGGACTATCTACGCTCGGACTACATTCGGATGTGAAACTAGCGGTAATCTTTCAGTTATATATTTTGTTAGCAGTGTGTTGCTTTTGTACCTTTTAATCCCTGATTGATCCCTGACAGCTTACAAGAAGTTGCGCTAATGCTAATGTTTTCACACGTATCAGATCGCAAATAAAACTAGATGGCTCCATGGGAGGATAGCGTAGGGGAAATGAGAAGCCTGTGAGCGAGTTGGGGCGAAGCTAAACATTCAAACCTTGCAGAAAAGGGTATAGATCCTCTAAAAGTAGGTATTTCGTGCGGGATATAAAATTCAACTAATTGGACTGGAAGTGCAAAAGTATGAATATAATGTTCATTTTTAGGCACGAGTGCTTCTCTTCCACTTCTGACACCACATGAGGATATTTTACAGCGCTTTAGCACTTTTAGACTTCTCCTGAGGCCCACCAGCAAAAAACAACATCATAGAATTTAAAAATCAAGTTCTTTCATCTTAAAGTTGGGGTACTTCACTTTCAAAACACCTACAATCTAACTATCTAACAACATCAAATCCAGAACAAAGACTTTCTGTTGGGACAAACAACATGCATTTTTTATGAAAAACAAAGTTAGGTACTTCAGCTTTACTGTAACACTATTGATAAAAAGTATGACATTGCAAAAATAATCATACAAGTTCATTTTCCTCCCTCTACAGTGAATATATTATCTGAAAGGAAGCGTATCTCCATGATTGAAATAAAAAGTGTACAGAGGAGGAAATATGAAAGCTCACCTCCGTTCTCCACGTTCCCCTCTGAGTCGGAGCCTGGCGTGGTGACCCCCTCTGAGGTGGAGCCTGGCGTGGTGACCCCCTCCACAGCGCTGCCGTTGGGCTGTGCCTCTGACAGTGTGATGAAGCGGTTACTCGTGCTGGACCCCTCGCCCTCCTCCCCTTCTTCACTGTTGCCGTCTGTGGTGGTGGGCTCTTCCGGTTCAGACTTGGTGAGGGGTCCTGGTTCCTCTCCGTTCTCCACTTTGTCCTCTTGGTCGGGACCCGTGCCGTTGCTTTGAGGGGAGCAGAGGATGTCCAATGAGCTCTTGCTGTCTAGCTTCTGTTGTCGTCTTTGGTTCTATTGGAAAGAGAAAAAACCTTTTCAAAAAGGCTGCCCAACAACAAAGGATTGAATTCTGTGGCCTATATAGCAATAAGGTCTATGTATTTATACTGTATTATAGTTGAGCTTCCCCTGGGGGGCAGGAAGGGATTTGGATACAGCTCTATCGACTGTTGATGTTTTTTATTTTATTTTATTAAACATTTATTTAACCTTTATTTAACCAGGAAAGTCCCATTGAGATTAAGAACCTGTTTTTCAAGGTAGTCTTGGAAAAATGTTCAGAGCGGATGTTCCTGCTTCAGTGTGTTTACGTGAACAGCAGAGAGCCCATACGAGGAAGTGCAGAGAAAAACACAGAACTTGACTTTTTATGCTTTAATGTGCCATTGTCAGAACAGGGGTAATGGACTTAAGTTTTAGAAAGAATAGGACACCCAGGTCAAACGTGCATTGAAAAGACAGATAATTCAGAGACTTCTCAACAGACTTTTTGGACTAAAATCATTCATTGTCCTCGCACATAATGTGATATTTTGGCTGTCTAAGGAGCTCAGTAAAACAACACTGCACCTTGGCTTGCTTCTTGGCCTGCTTCTTGGCCTTCTTCTGTTGGTATTTGCTGCCACTGGGAATGTCGTCTGTGCCATTGGTCAAAACGGGGCTCTCACTTTCTTCAGCGTCACTGGACTTTTGAAAAGCTGGTTTTTTCTGAAACTTTTTTCTGTAGGCCTAAAGACACATGGCAATGCACAGGTTTAAACTGAACAAATCAACACAAACTCTGAGTTATTCAATGGATTACCTCATCTGAAACAGGAAGTGAAAGATCAAGGAACATTTCTTTGACCACTGACACCTACAGGAAAAAGGAGTTAGAAGTACATCTTGAGAGAGTAGCCGAGATTCTCATCATTCATCTCATCTTAAAGTCATCCAGGGCTTTAAAAAAATGTTTAAATACAGAAATTATAATTGTACAGGTTTGTAGGACAGTGGATCCTTGTTTAATGCCAGGTTGTTATTTCTAAAAAATAAAAAGATTCCCCATGAGAGGTGGAGGGAGCAGACCGAACACGGGGGATGTGAATGGCTCCATCAGTCAGAAAGTAGCAGTGACGGAGGATGTACGATCCCATTCCAGTGTGTCCCGGCAATCACCCGCCACTCCCGGGCATCATACCCGGCCCCACTGGTCGCTTTTTTCATCTGCCTGTGTAAAGCATTGACGAGACCAGTGCAAAAACTACACTCACCGTCTTGCACTGCTGACACATGACAGTGCTGGTCGTTTCCCCACCAAAAACCTGATCCACGACGTTCTTGGGGAATGCCTTCTTCTCATACTCTGATGGAACAAAGAATGAAAAGGGGACAAATTAGTTTTTGGTGATAACTCATCTTTAATATGGTATACCTTTGACAAGTGTTTTCAACTGATCTTCGCTCGTCGTTTTGGCTTCTTTTAACGCCTCAAACAGCGCTGACCCCACCCTCTAGAACAGATCAAAGTCAAATTTGAGAGAGAAGCCCACACAGTGATTTTGATTTAACACAAAGTAACACAAGTGCAAATGCAGCAGTATATCTATTCCAATGACATTTCTATTTTTACCTACTTGACCATGTGACCCGGGGGCTATAATAATGGACATCATGGTTTAGTGCTGTAAAATCTACAGAAGGCCTACCCCAGCCCTACCCCAGCCCTCTCTACCTACAACCCCTGAAGGAGAGAGAAAGGAGGTTACTTTGCTCTCCTCCGCTCTCATCCCGTCCAGCAGGTACCGCAGCAGCTCCTGACTGTCCTGCTGCTGGAAGCCCCGAAACCTGGCAGCCCTGCACAGATAACAACACTTAAAACACACAATCTATCATTATTTTTAAACATTTCTTTTTTTACTTGTGTATACATTCCACCCCCTCTCATTCATTCAACGCAAGGCCTGTAATTAACCATAATTTTGCTAAGAGATTAGTTGGCAGATTTATTTTCCAATTAATAAATTAGTTTTTTTCTACATTTGATCTAAATTAAGCTCAAGTGATGCTCCTAGGAAACATCTGCACACTATGGTGAAAGCATAGACTGAAAAGTCTCATGAACCATTACACAAAGTGAGATAAATCATACTTTTTACAAACTTGCGTGAATAGGTCGCGTGGTGTGATGACGTTCTTTTTGGATTCCTGGATTTCATTGAGCAGCTGACACATGGTTAATGTTAGAGGTCCCGATCGCTCCAGACGGACCGTCACCGGCTCCTACAGTTGGACAAAGATATGAATGTTAAAAATACCAATAAAAAGACGTGTTCAAATAAAGAATAAATATGACAAACCAGATTTGAGGAAGCATCTGGTGCAATGTCCAATGCCATCTTCTCTATGACTGCGTTCAGTGTGTCTCTTAAGATGTGTGTTTGGGAAAGATTCTGGAGAAAAAGAAAAGGATTACTTTTTTAAAGATATACAGTGGTCTCTGGTTCATTGCAGGAGTAACATTCTGCACAAGGTAGTAGCTATAACTTTTAAGGCAGTGAAATCCCACACTCTATGCACTTTTCTAACCACCTGAACTCACACCTGCGCTTTGTGAAATTTACAATAGTCAGCGGCAGTCTTTTATAGACTGATGACGTGATTCATTATATTTATCTTTTTTACAAAATCTAATGAAATGTTGGGTTTGAATTAGTACAGTGATGGGAGACCTCTGGGAACACAGGTGCCACAGTGGGGCAGCTGCGGCTGCAAAGTGTCAAACTCTGGTTGTGTCCTTAGCCAACACACTTCATCCACATTGCCTGGTGGTAATCGAAGGGGCCGATGGCACGTTCTAGTTTCCTCGCTTCTGTCAGTGTGCCCCAGGGCAGCTGTGGTAACAGTAGTAGTTTATCACCACCGTGTACAGAGTGGATGATTATGACATGTAAACTATATAAAACCTGATGCATTATTATAATTATTAAAGCTCAAACAGAGTTGGGAGTGGACCTGGATGACGGCGTTGAAGAAGCAAGTGTTGCCCAGGTTGCTCAGGCCCTTCACCGGGACCCTGTCCGCCTGCGTGGCACTGGACTGCTGGCTTTTGGGCTGATGCGCTTTATTCTCTGGATTTTCTTTAGTCTCTGGATTTTCTTTATTCTCTGGATTTTCGTTGTCTTCCTGCTCCACACTCTCTTCCAGTGTTAGAGTGTCCAGTTTGAGCTCCACCTCTGAAACCTCTTTAGTTTCTGAAAAATAGTCACCCAAACATAATGTTAAAGATTTATTATAACAATATGCATCAATGTAAAATACAGAGACCTAAAGCAATATTATCAATTTCCATGTTCACCTAATTTTATTGATAATTTCACAATTTTATGACAAGCATGGCCAATTAGAGTTTTGAAGCATATTTAAAGCTGGGGTGGCTAACTTTTATTCTTTGTGAATTTACTTTAGCCAGACAGCTAGAATATTGGAAAAGTAACATTTTGTGAACAAATCAGACCACAACACCCTATTCTTCATATTGTTAGAAATGTCTACTACATATAAAGAGCGAGCCCTGCGAGTGACGCTTTGAGCTGAGGACAGGATTTTGAGAGAATGGAGAGACTCCAGCTCTGATGGAACACTCCCCCCATTTTCCATCTCACACATCTTTCATTCCATAGTCATTCAAAGCACGTTTAAAGACTCGCTTTTTAGTTTTGCTTTTGAGTGGCCTGCAGTCTGTTTGCACTAAAATGTAATGCATTTTGTGTTTTCCCCAGTATGATTACATCTGCATACTAAATGTATTGTCACAGAAAATATTTGTGACAATGACAATAACTGAAAAAGTGCACGTTTCACTTGAAAACGACTTTCATATGTGAATGTGAGGGGAAAAGACCTTATAAACTGGTTAAAAACTACTAAAAGCCAATTTTGCTCAGTGTAGCATGTCACGAGTACTTACTCTGGGGTGGCCTCTTTGTCGGCTCAGTGGAGGAGAGTTTCCTCAGATTGGTCAGGAGCTGAGCTAAGTGTCCGGTTTGAGAGAACTGCACCTCGTCATCACAGATATAACACCTAAATAACAACACATACACATTGGACTAAACGTTTAAAAGAAACAGAGACAAGAAAACTTACCACACGGCCCAGTTGTCCAGACTGACCACGAGGCAATGAGGATCTGATCGTGGGGTCTCGTAATGCTTAATGGCGTGTTTGTTTTCAGAATGTCGACCGCAGCCCTTTGGAAATAAGTACGTAAAAAAATATATATATATAAATAAATAAATAAATAATATATATATTTTTTTTAAACACACACACACACACACACCGTTTTCCCTCCACGGGCGGTAATCCCTCTCTCAGCTCAGGTCCAGAGGTACCAGAGGCCTGGGATATTGAGGGTTCTGCGCAGTACGTTTGCTGTTCCTAGCACTGCACATTTCTGGACCGAGATTTCCGTGGTTGTTCCAAAGATTGTAATCATAATCAATACATGAGGTGCCCCAAGATTCCTGCCTCTTTAACTCTTTAAGACCGGGAACGCATTCCCGCATTTCTATCTTTCAAGCCGGGAGCGCTGTTGCGCACTTCTACCTTCAAGGTCGGGAAAGAGGAAACTTCTTTTTCATTTCTTTAACCTTTTCTCTTCATTGATCAATTCTCTTGACCATTGAAACTCATCAAGATAAACCTGGGATGAGAATTATCTGCGGATCCGCGAAGTCCGTTTTTTCCCGCTGAAAATATAATTTTATACTGAGAGCAGACCATAGACGCGCGGACAGAACCATAGACGCGCAGACAGAACCATAGACGCGCGGACAGAACCATAGACGCGCGGACAGAACCATAGACGCGCAGACAGAACCATAGACGCGCGGACAGAACCATAGACGCGCGGACAGAACCATAGACGCGCGGACAGAACCATAGAGGCGCGGACAGAACCATAGACGCGCGGACAGAACCATAGACCATAGACGCGCGGACAGAACCATAGACGCGCGGACAGAACCATAGACGCGCGGACAGAACCATAGACGCGCGGACAGAACCATAGACGCGCGGACAGAACCATAGACGCGCGGACAGAACCATAGACGCGCGGACAGAACCATAGACGCGCGGACAGAACCATAGACGCGCGGACAGAACCATAGACGCGCGGACAGAACCAGACGCGCGGACAGAACCATAGACGCGCGGACAGAACCATAGACGCGCGGACAGAACCATAGACGCGCGGACAGAACCATAGACGCGCGGACAGAACCATAGCGCGGACAGAACCATAGACGCGCGGACAGAACCATAGACGCGCGGACAGAACCATAGACGCGCGGACAGAACCATAGACGCGCGGACAGAACCATAGACGCGCGGACAGAACCATAGACGCGCGGACAGAACCATAGACGCGCGGACAGAACCATAGACGCGCGGACAGAACCATAGACGCGCGGACAGAACCATAGACGCGCGCGGACAGAACCATAGACGCGCGGACAGAACCATAGACGCGCGGACAGAACCATAGACGCGCGGACAGAACCATAGACGCGCGGACAGAACCATAGACGCGCGGACAGAACCATAGACGCGCGGACAGAACCATAGACGCGCGGACAGAACCATAGACAGCTAGCGCGGACAGAACCATAGACGCGCGGACAGAACCATAGACGCGCGGACAGAACCATAGACGCGCGGACAGAACCATAGACGCGCGGACAGAACCATAGACGCGCGGACAGAACCATAGACGCGCGGACAGAACCATAGACGCGCGGACAGAACCATAGACGCGCGGACAGAACCATAGACGCGCGGACAGAACCATAGACGCGCGGACAGAACCATAGACGCGCGGACAGAACCATAGACGCGCGGACAGAACCATAGACGCGCGGACAGAACCATAGACGCGCGGACAGAACCATAGACGCGCGGACAGAACCATAGACGCGCGGACAGAACCATAGACGCGCGGACAGAACCATAGACGCGCGGACAGAACCATAGACGCGCGGACAGAACCATAGACGCGCGGACAGAACCATAGACGCGCGGACAGAACCATAGACGCGCGGACAGAACCATAGACGCGCGGACAGAACCATAGACGCGCGGACAGAACCATAGACGCGCGGACAGAACCATAGACGCGCGGACAGAACCATAGACGCGCGGACAGAACCATAGACGCGCGGACAGAACCATAGACGCGCGGACAGAACCATAGACGCGCGGACAGAACCATAGACGCGCGGACAGAACCATAGACGCGCGGACAGAACCATAGACGCGCGGAACAGACCATAGACGCGCGGACAGAACCATAGACGCGCGGACAGAACCATAGACGCGCGGACAGAACCATAGACGCGCGGACAGAACCATAGACGCGCGGACAGAACCATAGACGCGCGGACAGAACCATAGACGCGCGGACAGAACCATAGACGCGCGGACAGAACCATAGACGCGCGGACAGAACCATAGACGCGCGGACAGAACCATAGACGCGCGGACAGAACCATAGACGCGCGGACAGAACCATAGACGCGCGGACAGAACCATAGACGCGCGGACAGAACCATAGACGCGCGGACAGAACCATAGACGCGCGGACAGAACCATAGACGCGCGGACAGAACCATAGACGCGCGGACAGAACCATAGACGCGCGGACAGAACCATAGACGCGCGGACAGAACCATAGACGCGCGGACAGAACCATAGACGCGCGGACAGAACCATAGACGCGCGGACAGAACCATAGACGCGCGGACAGAACCATAGACGCGCGGACAGAACCATAGACGCGCGACAGAACCATAGACGCGCGGACAGAACCATAGACGCGCGGACAGAACCATAGACGCGCGGACAGAACCATAGACGCGCGGACAGAACCATAGACGCGCGGACAGAACCATAGACGCGCGGACAGAACCGCGCGGACAGAACCATAGACGCGCGGACAGAACCATAGACGCGCGGACAGAACCATAGACGCGCGGACAGAACCATAGACGCGCGGACAGAACCATAGACGCGCGGACAGAACCATAGACGCGCGGACAGAACCATAGACGCGCGGACAGAACCATAGACGCGCGGACAGAACCATAGACGCGCGGACAGAACCATAGACGCGCGGACAGAACCATAGACGCGCGGACAGAACCATAGACGCGCGGACAGAACCATAGACGCGCGGACAGAACCATAGACGCGCGGACAGAACCATAGACGCGCGGACAGAACCATAGACGCGCGGACAGAACCATAGACGCGCGGACAGAACCATAGACGCGCGGACAGAACCATAGACGCGCGGACAGAACCATAGACGCGCGGACAGAACCATAGACGCGCGGACAGAACCATAGACGCGCGGACAGAACCATAGACGCGCGGACAGAACCATAGACGCGCGGACAGAACCATAGACGCGCGGACAGAACCATAGACGCGCGGACAGAACCATAGACGCGCGGACAGAACCATAGACGCGCGGACAGAACCATAGACGCGCGGACAGAACCATAGACGCGCGGACAGAACCATAGACGCGCGGACAGAACCATAGACGCGCGGACAGAACCATAGACGCGCGGACAGAACCATAGACGCGCGGACAGAACCATAGACGCGCGGACAGCGGACAGAACCATAGACGCGCGGACAGAACCATAGACGCGCGGACAGAACCATAGACGCGCGGACAGAACCATAGACGCGCGGACAGAACCATAGACGCGCGGACAGAACCATAGACGCGCGGACAGAACCATAGACGCGCGGACAGAACCATAGACGCGCGGACAGAACCATAGACGCGCGGACAGAACCATAGACGCGCGGACAGAACCATAGACGCGCGGACAGAACCATAGACGCGCGGACAGAACCATAGACGCGCGGACAGAACCATAGACGCGCGGACAGAACCATAGACGCGCGGACAGAACCATAGACGCGCGGACAGAACCATAGACGCGCGCGGACAGAACCATAGACGCGCGGACAGAACCATAGACGCGCGGACAGAACCATAGACGCGCGGACAGAACCATAGACGCGCGGACAGAACCATAGACGCGCGGACAGAACCATAGACGCGCGGACAGAACCATAGACGCGCGGACAGAACCATAGACGCGCGGACAGAACCATAGACGCGCGGACAGAACCATAGACGCGCGGACAGAACCATAGACGCGCGGACAGAACCATAGACGCGCGGACAGAACCATAGACGCGCGGACAGAACCATAGACGCGCGGACAGAACCATAGACGCGCGGACAGAACCATAGACGCGCGGACAGAACCATAGACGCGCGGACAGAACCATAGACGCGCGGACAGAACCATAGACGCGCGGACAGAACCATAGACGCGCGGACAGAACCATAGACGCGCGGACAGAACCATAGACGCGCGGACAGAACCATAGACGCGCGGACAGAACCATAGACGCGCGGACAGAACCATAGACGCGCGGACGCAGACAGAACCATAGACGCGCGGACAGAACCATAGACGCGCGGACAGAACCATAGACGCGCGGACAGAACCATAGACGCGCGGACAGAACCATAGACGCGCGGACAGAACCATAGACGCGCGGACAGAACCATAGACGCGCGGACAGAACCATAGACGCGCGGACAGAACCATAGACGCGCGGACAGAACCATAGACGCGCGGACAGAACCATAGACGCGCGGACAGAACCATAGACGCGCGGACAGAACCATAGACGCGCGGACAGAACCATAGACGCGCGGACAGAACCATAGACGCGCGGACAGAACCATAGACGCGCGGACAGAACCATAGACGCGCGGACAGAACCATAGACGCGCGGACAGAACCATAGACGCGCGGACAGAACCATAGACGCGCGGACAGAACCATAGACGCGCGGACAGAACCATAGACGCGCGGACAGAACCATAGACGCGCGGACAGAACCATAGACGCGCGGACAGAACCATAGACGCGCGGACAGAACCATAGACGCGCGGACAGAACCATAGACGCGCGGACAGAACCATAGACGCGCGGACAGAACCATAGACGCGCGGACAGAACCATAGACGCGCGGACAGAACCATAGACGCGCGGACAGAACCATAGACGCGCGGACAGAACCATAGACGCGCGGACAGAACCATAGACGCGCGGACAGAACCATAGACGCGCGGACAGAACCATAGACGCGCGGACAGAACCATAGACGCGCGGACAGAACCATAGACGCGCGGACAGAACCATAGACGCGCGGACAGAACCATAGACGCGCGGACAGAACCATAGACGCGCGGACAGAACCATAGACGCGCGGACAGAACCATAGACGCGCGGACAGAACCATAGACGCGCGGACAGAACCATAGACGCGCGGACAGAACCATAGACGCGCGGACAGAACCATAGACGCGCGGACAGAACCATAGACGCGCGGACAGAACCATAGACGCGCGGACAGAACCATAGACGCGCGGACAGAACCATAGACGCGCGGACAGAACCATAGACGCGCGGACAGAACCATAGACGCGCGGACAGAACCATAGACGCGCGGACAGAACCATAGACGCGCGGACAGAACCATAGACGCGCGGACAGAACCATAGACGCGCGGACAGAACCATAGACGCGCGGACAGAACCATAGACGCGCGGACAGAACCATAGACGCGCGGACAGAACCATAGACGCGCGGACAGAACCATAGACGCGCGGACAGAACCATAGACGCGCGGACAGAACCATAGACGCGCGGACAGAACCATAGACGCGCGGACAGAACCATAGACGCGCGGACAGAACCATAGACGCGCGGACAGAACCATAGACGCGCGGACAGAACCATAGACGCGCGGACAGAACCATAGACGCGCGGACAGAACCATAGACGCGCGGACAGAACCATAGACGCGCGGACAGAACCATAGACGCGCGGACAGAACCATAGACGCGCGGACAGAACCATAGACGCGCGGACAGAACCATAGACGCGCGGACAGAACCATAGACGCGCGGACAGAACCATAGACCAAGAACCGCGCGGACAGAACCATAGACGCGTGCAGACAGAACCATAGACGCGCGGACAGAACCATAGACGCGCGGACAGAACCATAGACGCGCGGACAGAACCATAGACGCGCGGACAGAACCATAGACGCGCGGACAGAACCATAGACGCGCGGACAGAACCATAGACGCGCGGACAGAACCATAGACGCGCGGACAGAACCATAGACGCGCGGACAGAACCATAGACGCGCGGACAGAACCATAGACCGCGACAGAACCATAGACGCGCGGACAGAACCATAGACGCGCGGACAGAACCATAGACGCGCGGACAGAACCATAGACGCGCGGACAGAACCATAGACGCGCGGACAGAACCATAGACGCGGACAGAACCATAGACGCGCGGACAGAACCATAGACGCGCGGACAGAACCATAGACGCGCGGACAGAACCATAGACGCGCGGACAGAACCATAGACGCGCGGACAGAACCATAGACGCGCGGACAGAACCATAGACGCGCGGACAGAACCATAGACGACAGAACCATAGACGCGCGGACAGAACCATAGACGCGCGGACAGAACCATAGACGCGCGGACAGAACCATAGACGCGCGGACAGAACCATAGACGCGCGACAGAACCATAGACGCGGACAGAACCATAGACGCGCGGACAGAACCATAGACGCGCGCGGACAGAACCATAGACGCGCGGACAGAACCATAGACGCGCGGACAGAACCATAGACGCGCGGACAGAACCATAGACGCGCGGACAGAACCATAGACGCGCGGACAGAACCATAGACGCGCGGACAGAACCATAGACGCGCGGACAGAACCATAGACGCGCGGACAGAACCATAGACGCGCGGACAGAACCATAGACGCGCGGACAGAACCATAGACGCGCGGACAGAACCATAGACGCGCGCGGACAGAACCATAGACGCGCGGACAGAACCATAGACGCGCGGACAGAACCATAGACGCGCGGACAGAACCATAGACGCGCGGACAGAACCATAGACGCGCGGACAGAACCATAGACGCGCGGACAGAACCATAGACGCGCGGACAGAACCATAGACGCGTGCAGACAGAACCATAGACGCGCGACAGCATAGACGCGCGGACAGAACCATAGACGCGCGGACAGAACCATAGACGCGCGGACAGAACCATAGACGCGCGGACAGAACCATAGACGCGCGGACAGAACCATAGACGCGCGGACAGAACCATAGACGCGCGGACAGAACCATAGACGCGCGGACAGAACCATAGACGCGCGGACAGAACCATAGACGCGCACAGAACTAGACGCGACAGAACCATAGACGCGCGGACAGAACCATAGACGCGCGGACAGAACCATAGACGCGCGGACAGAACCATAGACGCGCGGACAGAACCATAGACGCGCGGACAGAACCATAGACGCGCGGACAGAACCATAGACGCGCGGACAGAACCATAGACGCGCGGACAGAACCATAGACGCGCGGACAGAACCATAGACGCGTGCAGACAGAACCATAGACGCGCGGACAGAACCATAGACGCGCGGACAGAACCATAGACGCGCGGACAGAACCATAGACGCGCAGACAGAACCATAGACGCGCGGACAGAACCATAGACGCGCGGACAGAACCATAGACGCGCGGACAGAACCATAGACGCGCGGACAGAACCATAGACGCGCGGACAGAACCATAGACGCGCGGGACAGAACCATAGACGCGCGGACAGAACCATAGACGCGCGGACAGAACCATAGACGCGCGGACAGAACCATAGACGCGCGGACAGAACCATAGACGCGCGGACAGAACCATAGACGCGCGGACAGAACCATAGACGCGCGGACAGAACCATAGACGCGCGGACAGAACCATAGACGCGCGGACAGAACCATAGACGCGCGGACAGAACCATAGACGCGCGGACAGAACCATAGACGCGCGGACAGAACCATAGACGCGCGGACAGAACCATAGACGCGCGACAGAACCATAGACGCGCGGACAGAACCATAGACGCGCGGACAGAACCATAGACGCGCGGACAGAACCATAGACGCGCGGACAGAACCATAGACGCGCGGACAGAACCATAGACGCGCGGACAGAACCATAGACGCGCGGACAGAACCATAGACGCGCGGACAGAACCATAGACGCGCGGACAGAACCATAGACGCGCGGACAGAACCATAGACGCGCGGACAGAACCATAGACGCGCGGACAGAACCATAGACGCGCGGACAGAACCATAGACGCGCGGACAGAACCATAGACGCGCGGACAGAACCATCCCCAGCTTGTTGCACGTGCGGGTCTTGCCTGTGTCCCACGTCTTCTCACAAAGCGCCGCCCAAACTCACTGAATTAAAGCTCAGGTACCTACATTTTCGCTTGCATTGACAATGCATGTTATTTGTGCACAAAAGTAAAATGTTGTGAACGAATCAAAAAGAACAAACCAAACTAAAATGAAACGAAAAGAGATTAAAGGGACAGTATAAACTACAGTACTGTGGTTTTCTGTCATCCACAGATAAAAGGTCGCAATTTTGAGCACATTATCCAATCAGAGAGGAGAATGAGTTTGGGTCGCCAGTTTTTTACGTGCAACTTTGCTGGTTTTGCAAACAAAACAACTACCTCTAATAATGGTCATATTATTAGAGGTAATATGACCAGGTCATATTACCTCTAGGGTCTTTCAAAATGTTCTCAAGTGGGTAAGCTTTGTTTTAGTCATTAATAACAGTAACCCAGCTTTGTTTGTCAAAATAATTGTTAGTGAAGGCATCAAATGCGATGGTTGTATTGTACTGTTGGTAATGGATGGAGCGATGGAGCAATGAGAGTTTATTATTTTTTTTGATTCAAGCCCTTACCCTGTGTCCGCATTTGAGGCACATCCACACCAGTTCAACCTCCTCTGTTTGCGTTTCCTGTGACGGGCCATTGTCCTTCTCTTTCTTCTCCTCTTTACTAGTACAATCCTGGCAGTGTGTCCAGTCTTCACAGCCAGAGAGCCTTTTCACAAGCGCTTGGTCTGTTCCCTTTTTGATATGTCGACAGGACGGACCTTAGAAGACAACAAGAGCACATATTTGAGACAGAAGAAAATAAGAGTGGAATAATTTCCGGTGTTTGGTAAAAATCTACCTGACAGGTCAATATCCTCATCGTCCCTGGAGCTCCGGTCTTTCCCCCTCTTCTTTCCCATAATGACCTTAACAAGTTAGAGAAAGAAGAGTTATTGACACAGATCCATCAGCAATCAACAACTAACAGCTCCTACATATAAAAGTTCTACGCTATGATTACATCAGGTCCTAGCTCTGGTGGCGCTTGGCTAGGTTTGATATGTTGTCTTTTAGAGTTGTCTTTTAGAGTTTACTAATAGATGCTCGGCCTTTTCAATTTGATATGATACAGTTCCAAGCGATGCTTGGCTTTTGGCTCCTTACCTAATGATTAGGTGCATTTTGCCAAAAGAAAACATTATTGGTACATTTCATTTATTGTAGAAAAATCTTCTCAGACTCAAGCCTCGATTAGCAATGAGTGAATCTGTGACTATTACAAAAAATTATTTTAACAAAAAAATCACAGCGTCAAAATACATAGATATTTCTCTATAATAATATTTGTGTCCACCCATACAATGATTGACATTTTGTTCTTGGAGTGTTCTTGTGTTCATTTACACCATGGAACACAATATATAAAACCTCAGAACACATCATTTTAGCTTTGTTTAGCATACATCAATCAGTAATACTGTAATCACCCAGGCATTGGGGGAATGTACACATAGAATATACCAGTAGAATAGCAGGATTTTTCATTTTTCAAGTTTTTTTAATGTTATTTTTTTAACCAAACTCTTAAAACATCTGGAGTCCCTGGAAAGGCTGCTGTTTCATTTCCATGTAAACAATCAAAAATGCAAAGACTTTAGCATAACATTGATCTAATAAAAATTGACTCTTGACTCTCCAAAGCATACAATCATTCATCCTTTCATCACATCATAGACAGGAACAAAATGTAAGTAAAATTAGAACATAAAGAATGTAATCTTTTATTTCTAAATTATACTTGCAAGTCCCCTTGCATCACTTTAGAGGTAGTAGATATCATAAATTAACAGCAAACCTGAACAACTATCTTTAGCAGCTAACTAATTTCAAAACTAATCACAGAAACACATTTTCATCCGAACTTAAACAATGCATCATCCTTTAGTAGTCAGTTTACAGCTACAGACCGCAAAAATCATCACTGCGATAATGACCACGATTGTACTAAAATATGCGACAAAATATCTTCATCAAACCAATAGTTGACGCTTATAATATGGATAAATATGAACAGAAATGGCCATCTAAGACAAAAAATGTATTTACCAGCTGGCTCCACACGCACAGGGGGGAACCAACGTAGCGGCGCAACTGTTTCCATGTTCCCCCTGCACTTCCGGATGGAAGCGGGACTCATTTATTTTATTTTATTTTCTTTGTTGTACATTTCATCCACAAATAAACATAGCCGTACTCCTAATCTATATATATAATAATATACTGCGAATCATAAACATCAAGGCAATGCACTATTCTGGTTAAATCAGAAATAAAATAGCTCGCTTCCTTCTTGAGTATTGATTCTTTTGATTGATCTGCCTATTTTGTTCTTTAAAAAATAAGATAAAATAACTAAGTAAAAGATAAAGGAGGTACTGATGATTAATTTGAATGCAGCCAAAGCGGCTTTGATCTTTTACCCAACGCAATGTCGGTACTTCTTCATTGTCCATTCCTTGACCAAATTATCGATTCTTAAACTGTATCCAAATTTATACCTAAGATAGAATGTTAATTATTTTTGTCAATAATTATTGTTAATAAAGAGTTAGTTAAATAACCTCGAATTAAACTACTGTGCTGTTGTGTTGGGATAAAATTGTCCTGCTTTTCCGCTCTCCTTCAGTAACAAAATAAACATTGAGCAGACTATGGAAAGGAGCGGACTGCATTTGTGGCTGAATTAATTCATTATTTGTTTGCTGAATTTTAAGAGTATTTTAAAGACGTGATGTAACGGCGATCCGTGGTTATTTGTTGGACATGTCGTATCTGGAGTGGGCAGAGAGTCAACTGGCAGAGATAGAGCTTCTCTCCAGCATGTTTCCCACACGCGAGGAGTTGGACTTCTCTGACCCCATGGCCCTGGCTCTCCTCAGGGGCTACGTGGAAGGGGCTGGGTCCACTGAAGGGCCCCCCACATCGAGACCGCAGTTTCAAATCAAGCAGAAGATCCTGTCTGCTGGAACGAACGAGGTGATGAAGAGGATAATGTCCCTGTATTGGACAAAATAATTGCATTTTATTATTATATCTGTTAGGATACTTTATGTTAATTAACGTTAGGTACCTGTTCTATTGGACAAATACTGTGAGGATGTCTTTGTTTCCTTTTCTTTTAAAATAAATACAGCACTTGCAGGACTACAGCTACATTTGAAAACAAACAAATGTAGTACGTTAACAGCTGATGGAGAAAAACAAAGCTGACAGATAACTGCCACACCATGATTTTATCACGAGGCGTTTTAATGTTCTGTTATGATCAAAGCTTTAAAAAACACTGGTTGCAAACATTAACTGTTCGCTTCAATGTCAGCACTCATTTACCAAACTATTTTGACTATAAACATCCATTCTGTAAAGGCTAAACCTGGATGGAGTCAATTTAGGTCCATGTACTCAGTTCTGACAACTGCCCTAATCACATAAACAGTCCCTTGAATTTAGTGCATCAGCTTTTCACATAAATCAATACACCATAGCTGATAAAACTGCTCAAATTCTTTCTTGTGCCCCAGGAGATACTCTACCATAATAAAATTAACTTGAAAAAGAAGCGGCTTCTTGTCCGGCAATTACAGAATGTGAAGAAAGAAAGAAAGCAAATGTGAATATTTATAATATTCATGATCTAGTTTTTGCTTTGTTTCATGTTTCCTGCAGATGGACGTAATTATGTCGTGTGCGTATCCCTCGGAGTATCCCAGTGTGTTGCCCGAGATCACTGTCAGGTATGGACTCGTTAGTTTGGCCTTCTGGTTTCCATTACACACAGCAAAACAGTATCCATGAATAAATCTGTACTAAACCTGGATTCTAGCAGCACTCTGACCAATTTAGTCAATCCATGTTTTATTGTTCTGTGTAAAGCAACTCTTTATGAAGCACTATTACAACTATACATAACGTAGGTCCATTCATGAGGAAGCAGACTTTTGTTCTAAAGCTTTATTCAGGCTTAACTTATAATACACTCTAAAATCATTTACATTTGAGAGGAATGTAAATATGAACTAATAAACTATTCCAAGAGAAACTACTGTGTAATACACATTAATAATTAGATTACACTATTTTGATAAGAAAAAAATACTATAATTTTGCCCTCCTTTTATAGATTGTGTCTGTCTAAAATACTTTATTAACATAAAACTAATATCAGTAACTTGTGCCTTTTTGAGATTTTTTCATTTTAATTTTTTTATCAGTGTTAGATTCACAGCTCAAATTTCTCACAGATGCTCAGGTCTGAATCGGTCTCAGCTGAGCCAGCTCCACTCTGAGCTCAGTGCCCACCTGAGTGAGAGCCAACTGGGGGAAGTGTGCGTCCTGTCGGCTCTGGACTGGCTCCGGGACCACCTACACCTCTACACTTCCCTTGCCCTGTCTCCCATCACCTCCCATCCGAGCAGAGACCTTCCCCCAGCCCCGGTCTTCACCCGCCTCTGGATCTACAGCCACCACATCTACAACAAGAGCAAGCGGAAGAGCATCCTGGACTGGTCCAAGGAGCTGGGTCTGACCGGCTTCAGCATGCCGGGGAAGCCTGGGGTGGTGTGTGTGGAGGGCCCGCAGGAGGCCTGTGAGGACTTCTGGGCCAGGTACTCTTCTAAACCTGTGTCAGCTTTTAACCATGTAATGAGTAGAGATCGACCAATACAAGGTTTCTGAAGCTGATGTGATTATACTGAAAAAAAATGAATGGTGCAAACAAACATTGGGTAGCTAATGCTTTTACGCTAATTAGAAATTAGGAACATTCTTAAGATACTTTCATAATGCCTATATTTATATTGCGTGTTTGTGTGTTCCTCATTCCACCTGTTCTGCAACCTGCGATGCAACACTGACACGTCCCTGCTGTTGGACGAATAAAGGACCTCGCCCATCTTCACACTTCCTTGGAGTCTGCTAAAGTGTGCTCCTGTTGTGTTTGGACAGGCTGAAGGTGCTGACATGGAAGAGGATCATGATTCGTCACAGGGAGGACGTCCCCCTTGGAGGACAAGGAGAAGTGGAGGGAGAGGAGGTCGTAGCTTTCAGGACTCTGGACTCTCTGCGGAAGTTCAGCCGCTTTGAGGAGGCCATGTTTGACCCGCACGGTAACCGGGGAAACCACATGGACCTGGGACAGCTCTACCACTACCTGAACGACAAAGGCCTCAGCGATGTGTTTCAGATGTACTTTGGCATCGAGGGTCGCTGAAAGACGCTCCCGGACAATATGGGAAAAGTACACTTCAACAATGAAAGGATTTTTAATAAAAACGTTTGGAAGTTTAGTCGATTAATTGGTCAATGGTTTTAACCAAAAAAAGCATTACATTTCAATGAGAAAAATAAGTACACAGAGCACCAGCCCCTCACTGATCCTCCTGCAGGTGCTGAGTCCACAGGAGCTGAGATCTTTCAGTGGGGGCTTCAGGCAAAGTGGGGTTAAGTGTCTTACCCAAGGACATAACTACAGCAGTCATCAGTGGGAGTCGTTGGAGAAGGTCTTATGGTGGGCTTGAACCCACAACCTTTAGGCTCAAAGGCCAATGCTCTACCAACTGAGCCACTGTTGCCCCTCTACTTTTACATTCAAGCCAAAATCCTAAAATGTACAAAGAATCCATGAAAAACTCAAGGACACATTAATTTAAGATTAAAGTGGCATATGCAAATTTGACCATTTTAGCCATGTTGGAATATTTTTTAACTTTTATGTTTACTCAGGCTTAGTTCTTTGGGAGTAATTCATGTGTTTGTGCCTTACGTTCAATTTACTGTTACTTTGTCAATTCATGTCTCCCCCAAAGGGAAAGTAGCTCAGTCTCAGCATCTTAAAAATCGCTCTAAGACAGAAACACGACACATTTTCCTAAAGTAACGCTGCTGCCATCTCTCATTGCACTTTCTTATATAGATTATTTTTCCTAAATCAGTAGTCTTCGGATGATTTGGCAGTGTTCCACAGGCATTTTGATGCAGAAGAGTCAATACAAAATTCTTAATTTTATATAAATCCCCATTTTACTTGCACAGCAGTAAAAAGGTCAAACAAACAACAATAAAAAAGTAACCAGCAAATCAATACAGTAGCTTGTGGCACGTGTTAAAAGGTCTTAAAATAAGACTTAAAACATTCCACAGACAGATTTAGGGCCCTGTCCCCTGGTTTTATGAAGACCACAGGGAAGGCCCTCTCCCTCAAGTTAAGACCACTGAAAAGGCCCTGCAAGGCCAGGTTTAATTCTACAGAGAAGGCCCTGTCCCCCGGGTTCAAGACCACAGAGAAGGCCCTGTCCCATGGGTTTAAGACCACAAAGAAGGCCCTGTCCCATGGGTTTAAGACCACAAAGAAGGCCCTGTCCCATGGGTTTAAGACCACAAAGAAGGCCCTGTCCCATGGGTTTAAGACCACAAAGAAGGCCCTGTCCCATGGGTTTAAGACCACAAAGAAGGCCCTGTCCCATGGGTTTAAGACCACAGAGAAGGCCCTGTCCCATGGGTTTAAGACCACAAAGAAGGCCCTGTCCCATGGGTTTAAGACCACAAAGAAGGCCCTGTCCCATGGGTTTAAAACCACAAAGAAGGCCCTGTCCCATGGGTTTAAGACCACAAAGAAGGCCCTGTCCCATGGGTTTAAGACCACAAAGAAGGCCCTGTCCCATGGGTTTAAAACCACAGAGAAGGCCCTGTCCCATGGGTTTAAGACCACAAAGAAGGCCCTGTCCCATGGGTTTAAAACCACAAAGAAGGCCCTGTCCCATGGGTTTAAAACCACAGAGAAGGCCCTGTCCCATGGGTTTAAAACCACAAAGAAGGCCCTGTCCCATGGGTTTAAAACCACAAAGAATCAGAATCAGAATCAGAATCATTTTTATTGCCACGTAAGTAACAGGAGGTCACAGACTTGGAAATTGCTTTGGCTCAGTGCAACAGTCAAAAAGAGATAATAAAAATAAGAATAAAAAAACACTTCTAAAGAATAAATGTAAATTTAAAATAGAGTTACAGTTACTATTTACAATATACAAGTGCACATGGTGCACACAATGTAAGGTGACAGCAGTACAGTGAAGTAAAGTGACGTATGATGGGCAGTAAAGTGACTTTATAAAGGGCGGGGGACAGGTTAAGAAGTGTTCAAGAGTCCAACAGCAGAGGGGAAGAAACTGTTCTTGTGGCGGGAGGTTCTAGTCCTGATGGACCGCAGCCTCCTGCCTGAGGGGAGTGGTTGGAATAGTCCATGTGCAGGTGAGAGGGGAGTGGTTGGAATAGTCCATGTGCAGGTGAGAGGGGAGTGGTTGGAATAGTCCATGTGCAGGTGAGAGGGGAGTGGTTGGAATAGTCCATGTGCAGGGTGAGAGGGGTCGGCTGTGATACGACCAGCCCGGCCTCAAGCTCGGGCGACGTACAGGTCCTGCAGCGATGGAAGGCTGCGGCCGATCACTTCCTCTGCAGAGCGCACAATGCGCTGTAGTCTCTGTTTGTCCCTGACTGTGGCTCCAGCGAACCACACGGTGATGGAGGAGGTGATGGAGGAGGTGATGGAGGAGGTGATGGAGGAGGTGATGGAGGAGGTGAGGATGGACTCGATGATGGCCGTGTAGAACTGCAGCTTGGCTTTCCTGAGCTGCCGCAGGAAGTACATCCTCTGCTGGGCCTTCTTGATGAAGGAGCTGATGGTCGGCTCCCACTTGAGGTCCTGGTGATGGTGGTGCCCAGGAAACGGAAGGACTCCACAGAGGTGATGGGGGAGTCCATCACGGACCCCCGGACTTATCCAAATAAAATTATTTTATTTATAGCTGTAAACATAACAACATGTGCAGAGGTTCAAAGTGTATTAGTACTTTCAAGAAGCACTGCAGATTTCTTGTTTGTTTTTTAAGTGTGATATTGTTGCCTTTTAATTTGACAACATTAATTCGGATTCAGATTCATTTATTTGCCATTTGCAGTAAAACCACATTGGAAAAACTGTGCAAGACTACCCCAGTGTGTACCAACACACACCAGAGCTCTTGCCACTTCTTAATTGAATGTAAGAAGAAGGAAAAAATATCAGGCAAATCCAAAACTTGTAACTGAAAAGTACATTATCAAACATGACTTTTTCTAAACCAGCAGGTGGCAACATTACTCCATTACAACTGTCCTGTATGGAGCCATTTGTGGTCTATGGATGTCACTGAAAACATAAATTATGGTTCGTAGAGTAAATATAAAAAATCCTGCATTGTGGTCAGTTTGTGATTAAAAGTAAAAAAATAAATGATAATATTATGGTTAGTAAGTAATATGTAAGTACAATATAACATACAGGGCTGTGACGGTTTGAAAGCTCGCCAGTATGAACACTTAAAAAAAAATCCTTGTGTTGTGTTGAAATTGACATATTGGGAACCCACACAAATGAGCACATACAGCCCTTAATGATTATGATCAGCTCAGTGTTAAGTTAGGTCCTGGATCTAAAGTCTGTCCGTCTGTGTGGAGCGGATCCCTCGTGTCTCCCCGAGGTTTCTCACTTTTTTCCCACTGGGTTTTCCTTATGAGTTTTTCATTGCCGACGTAGGAGGGTCTGTTGGACAGTTAACAAAAAGGACTGTGGTGAGGATCCAGGACACTTCAACATTCTTCAACATGTGTGGACATTTATCAACATTCATGGACATTGGTCTCACCATATGCACCAATACATAATGGGTTCTATATTCTTTGATTCTCTGATCTGTGTTGGTGATTTCAATGGTTTTGTTAAGTCTCTGAGATGACTTCTGTTGTGATTTAGGGAAATACAAGAATAAATTGTGTATTGTATTGTAAGTGTAAAAGAATAATGACGACGTGGTTGTTCTTTTGCGAAGATTTGCTTTGAAATGAGGTGTAACATGCCATAGTGGCTAATCCTTATAGGAAAATGTTACGGCAGATATTTTAATAACCTAAAGAAGAAATATTATGCAAAATTTTGAGCGATTAAAAAGAATAATGATTCCAAAATGACTGGCTGTAAAGACAGAAATGTGATGGTAAAGAAAGTAATGTCGCCTGAGAACTTACCAAAAGGATTTTATGAATAATACTTTTGTTGTAAAAGAGAGAAAACTTCTCTGAGTGCGATGTCTCAGTGTTATCGATCACGTCGATCCAACGGGAGGCGGTAACGAGCAGACCTCCACATCCATACCCACTACCGCCGCAGCGTGTACGCATTATCTCTGCACAAAACCTAAATGCTGTATTAGCTGTATGATTTGTACTTGCTTATGGAAGGAGTCGGCAGAAAAATCAAGTTATCTGCTGCTGTTGCACTTTCCGGGCCTACTTGGAACAAAAAGGATCTCCAAAGTGAAAATGCAGAAACCTATTGTGTGTTAAAGCCCATTTTGGCTCGTCTTTGACGGGATAAAGCATTCTACGGTAAACTCCTTTTCCACCACTTTTGTCAGGATTTTTTTTATTTGTTTCGTTGTCGTTTTGAGACAATAAGCCGATTCTATAGGTGTAATGAAGCGTATAATTTAATTAGTTTTGGAAGCAAGTCACAGCAAGGGATTGGAAGTAAGGCTTTTGATCATGACTTTTTTCCGCTTCTCCTGGAGCCAAGTTCAGACAAAAGCTTTTGCTGTTGTTATTGTTGCATTTTCGAAGAGCAGAACATGCAAACAGTGAGGAAACGCAGAGACGACTGCGAAGAGACTTTGAGAGATGGTTTATGTTTGCGATATTGAAGACCTGTGATTGTCTCTGTCAAACATTTGAATCATTTAAACAAAGTGCCTCCATCACTTTTACCTATTCTGTCAAAGTCCACTTTTCCGTCATCAAAAAGTCCCAGGTGCAGGTTCAGGGGTGTGCTGTGATGCGGTCACTGTGTCCAATTGTTGTGATGAAGAACTAAGTCTGAAGGCAAAGCTCTCGATTTACTGGTCAGTCTACGTTCCTACTCTCACCCTTTGGGTAATGACCAAAAGGACAAAATCCCCGCAGCCAAAATGAGCTTCCTCCGCAGGGTGGCTCGGCGCTTCCTTAGCGTTGGGGAGAGGAGCCCGGTCACACGTGAGGAGCTCCGAGTAGAGCCGCTGATCCCCACGTCTGAATGAGGCAGTTGAGGAGATGCCCCAGTGACCCTACAATGGATAGGAAAATGAAGTAGAATCGTTTCAGACCAACGTTCATATTGATGTCAACAACTACGTTTGCATGAAGCAT